AAAAAAAATTTAAGTACATGTACTTTAGTAACTTACCAGTTAAAAGTCAAATCCGATGGTTCAGGCTTGGTGTCGTCAGTGTGCTCATCATCATCATCGCTGTCAATATCAGTAAGGACGTTGTTGGTTTTGTCAAACCTGCAATAACAATAAAGATATCAGTTACGTGTCTAATGAATTATTCTTTATATACTTCTGTAACACTAAAATATTCCATGTTTAAATTAATTTGAATTTATTTTTCCTTTTAATAACAAATGATTTTTTTTTTTAATAAATATAACATGGAATTTATTTCGTGTTTACAGATGACAGGTATGCTTTGAAGTCCGTGTGAAGATTCTCCATTTCAATATGGATTAGCATAGACCGGAGAAAAAATCTATGCAATCCGTACAATTAATAAAGTAATTTCTAAATATACAAAGTATAGTGACCATAAAAGTGATCTGTCTTGGGTTGTACACATAATATGGTCTCCTAGCGTGAGAGTCATCTACCACCCATATTACAACAAGACCATCAATCAGCAAAAATACATTTATAAAAAAAATGTATTCAAGTCTGATCACTAAATGCCTTGTTATAATACGAGACCCGAGGTCAGGCTTTTCCAAAGTAGTTCACCCTCCCTACACATTAATATTTACATTTACAAATATATGTATACAAAAACCACATATATATACTCTTCATATACTTTTCTTTTCTTTTTTCTTTCTTCCTTTATCTTTTTTCTCTTTTTTTCTTTTCTTTTTTTACTTCTTGCTTTTTTTTACTTCTTTCTTTTTTTAATATGTTTTTTATCCTTTTTATTTTTTAAATATTTTTTTTTTCTTCATTTTTCTTGTAGATATCTTACCACTAAATGGGAACCTAACAAATAACAATCAAATACATCAATGTGAAGTGATCTGTCTTAGGTTGTACACAAAACATTGATATCCTAGTCTAAACTACCATGTACTTTAACTAGCGATCTGTCTTAGGTTATACGCTCTATTGTACGATGATAGTTATCCTAACAGGGTCACCCCTAACATTAAGGAATTGTACAAAGTATTATAATTTCTTCACACGGATTTCGAGCATTTCAATTAAATATCTTCATACAAACACATTGTCATGATCAACCCACATAGACAACAAAAATTAATTACATGTGTTATTTGGGAAATTTACATTATACATTTGGAACTAAATTTCTCATTCGCAATGAATTTATTAATTGCATTTCATACTCAAATTTCATACTGTAGTTATGTCTTTGTATACATTTTTATGTGTATTGGGGGTATACAGTTTGTGCGAGTAATCTAATTTTGTTGGTTGTATATATGAAGAACATGACATTGGTTCATATTTACAAAAGTTCATGAAATCATTATTACCCTTTTTTTCATTTTCGCTTGTTAGTATATGGGCCTATCACGTTAGTCTCCTTTCCTTGTAATACCCGGCTGGGAGTTAGGACATATGTGCAATGGGTGAAAACTTCATATAACATATACAGTTATATTGCAGTTAACCCCGAATGTCCAGCATTAACTCCTCCCAGAAGCCCCCGAAGGAACTCAGACACAGATATGAAAGGAGGTGTATTTACATGTAAAAAATAAATAAAGACATGTACTTAGTTGTCACCGTTAGGTATCCGTACATGTTATACTGTACCTGGGCAATTTCAAACGCTGTTCATTTTTTTTTACCTACAATTTATTTACACAGCCATAATACTTATTAACTTTAACGCTATATATTTAAATAATTATATACTGAATTACAACTAACATGGACCAATTTGTCCCATGAACAGCGTCGAATTGCATTCAAAAATATTATAACCAATTTAAACATTTTTTTTATTCAACAAACAATAACTTTTATTACCTGAATAAGCGATTCGCGTGAGACGCGATTAAGTTTACAACACGCATAATACCCATGTTTATGAGTACGCGAGTAATTAAAATATAGGCAAAATTTTTCATCTTTTAAAGGATAAAATTTAATTTTGAGTAAATAATTACATTATGAATATTCATATTTGGACGTCGGCAAACACGTGAGAGAATTTATTTTCCAATGAAAATTTAAGAAAACTAATTTAATATGCATGCATCCCGTGCGCAGAAAATTTTAACTTTTACGTCCAATCGTATCGACGATTCATAATTTTGAGAACTTAATTTTTTCCAGAAATGTAACCAATCGCGGTTTACCGCAATACCGCCCACCCAAGCTAATCAAAATTTGATAATTGAATTTAAGGATGTTTTGGTAATCAAATTACCTGGTTAACTTCAAGAGTTTTATACCGCCGTGTATAAACAAATTAACATTAATTTGTGACTAATAACTTTCGAAACTTCAGAAATTATGATTATTGAAGTTCGGTGTATATAGAAATTTTTCTAAAAATAACATTGATAAATTTGAAATCGTTTAAAGTTACTTTTTGTTTTGTAAAAATACCCCCATGAATTCTTTAATTTTATTTGAAAGCAAACAATTATCACGTAAATTGCTCTATCAAGACAATCAGGGCATTCAAAAATCAGGACATTATACCCTTGTAAAAATTCAAACCGCTTTAGAATAACAAATAATCAATATTTTTTTCTAAACTTTAATGAATAATTTCCATTTTTTCATACTATGAATCAATACAATATTATTGAAATAGAAAATCAATGAAAAATTGCTTTTATTGCAAGTTTTTACATTATCAGGTAATCAGGTCATTATACCGCAAAATCAGGACATTATACCCCTGTCAGATTTACATGTGAAATAAACCCCCCTAAACGGTTTTTTAATTTCTTTTTTTTCCCTGAATCATTAAGATAATAATACTATTTAATATTTCCAACAAAAATAATACACCTTTTGGACTTGAAAAGTTTTTATTTTTGCGTTTTTACTCAATCAGGGCATTATACTATCAGGGCATTATACCTTTCCGATAACTGGGGAGGGATCAGGTACCTGGTAAGAAAGAGCATCTCTTGTAGTCACTTACATCCGTCATCAGCTCTATGTATTGATCAAATATAGGGTACGCTGTAATTCAATTTAATGTAAAAGCAATGATTTTACAAAAGGTATGAAAAATTTCACACCAAATGCAACCACTAACTCTTTATTAGGACCTAAACCCAACTTGAAATAATGTTGGCAAATTCTTGTAACATCAACTTATTTGTCAGTATCTTCCCATTGTTTTAAAAACAGATCGTACTAAGAGCATGCTCTTTGGTATCGCATTAGTTGGGAATATGCATTATGCAGTCGATGTTAAAAAAAATACTCCCTGTCAATGAAAATTATTATTCTAGAAATGATTTACCATCAAACAAACAGTCAACCACTGAGAACACCTTTCCGCAGACAATGAGATACACATTGGAATAGAAAACTAGACATGGCCTTTCCCTGTAGATGCAATGAAAATATCGATAGTGTTGGAAATCTTCCGAATTAACAGTTTAACAATGTAAATAGGATGGGACCTTTTAACCTATGATGATACAGAGACGTAAGTGTAGTCAAAGGAATGGGTCTTACAATAAACCTAGCTTTAATACACAATGTCTTTATTGATTCATTACTATGCCACATGGTCATTATTTACTATTGATGTTAATATGGGCATGTGTCATTTCATTCATTCATGGTTTGTGAGTTCATGACATCTGGCTGACCATAAACTGAGAACAGACTTAAGTCAAAATTTTCATTTTTGAATAGCTTGTCATTTATTAAGTATGAAATATATGTTACCAAGAATTTGCAGGTTTGTATGATATTCCAATTTAAACATATGCTAAAACTTTTGTTTTCTTAAAATGTCAAAAGTATTTTTAAAGTTATATTGATTTGAATTTTTGACTTAAGTCTGTTTTCAGTTTATGGGCTTGGGGCCAGATGTCATAGGGTGAGTATCGAATGTGTATGGGTGTGTTTGACTGGTTTTTCCAGTCATTGCACATGACTGGTGCAAATTTTAGCATTAATAGTAATAGTTTAATTGCTTTTGATGAACTGTTACGTTTAAACTACTAAAGTTACACCCTTTGACAACTACATTTCTACTACAAATACAACTAAGTCTTCATCACAGCCACACCAAACTTTACTCTAAAACTTCGGAATTTTTAAATAATGTACTTAAAATTGTCAAGGTAAGTCCACTTCTGATTTCTTTACACCAGAAGACTACTGTGGGAAGTGTCTCCAAACTGTGAAGAATTTTTTCCCTGTAATAAACTGACTTAATTTAAGTCAGACAAAAAAAATTTAGTCTTTCAGATTTGATTTTGAAAAGAATGCTCTCTAATAACTTCAAACAGAATATTTATGACACTATAAGATGAAATTCATCTGCTATAGTGTTAAAATAAATTTTGTGCTTCTAAACTACTGTATATATGGCATTCAAATTTAAATACTGTAAAATCACATTTCTTTGTGGAGTCAAATTTTTGAGGTTTGAGGAAAAAAATATTAGTTTGTGGGGATTTGAATTTGTGGTTTTAAAATGATTAGTAGTAATGCATATGAAATTTTACATTTCGTGATTGTCATGAATTTGTGGGTCTCTCCACACCTCGAAAATGACGAAAATTAACCCCCCACGAAAATTAGTGATTTCACAGTAATTGGATAGACGAAATTGATATATTGTATCGACTGAATTATAAGAAAATTAGCAGATATTATTAAAATTTTATGTTGCTATCTTTAATTTTTGTACCGATTGCATTTGTATCTTAATTTATTGTATGGTATATAGTTTTGAGTGGTAATTTTTAAATTTCTATCAAGATGACATTCAAAAAATGTTTAAAATATTGTCATCAAAACAGTAAAAATATGTACAATCACTGGCATAAAACAATACAAAAATCTCTATAATGAAGTCTTAATCCAATACAAAATATCTTAAGGAAGCATTGTTGTCGAGTACTTTATGCAGTCTCCACAATCTATTTTCCCCCTCTTTGTTTGGTCTTGCTTCACCTCTCTGTCATGTGGAAATTCATGCGGTAGAGTTCCCCTTTCTGTGTTTTAAATCCACACTGATGTTGTATTCTTCCAGTATCCATTATCTACCCCCTTTTTGTTTTGGCCTTTTTTCACTTCTCTGTTATGTGGAAATCCCTGAGGTAGAGTTCCCCTTTCTGTGTAATAAAATCCACACTGATGCTCTTATCTTCTGTCATGGTGGTCAGCTTAAACTCATTTGGCTGTACTTCTATATCACAAAGAAAAAAAGACTTGTATAATTGAGTATACAGAACAGAAAAGGGTCAGTTACTTTTATGTTAAGTTTCCCTTAAATTGATTACGACTTTGGATATAACGGGTAAACAATTATATAATGATTACATCTATACTTCAAATTAACTGATTACATAAGATTACTTTTCTGTCTTGTAATTTATGATTATTTGTGATTATTCACTATTACATTAATAAAAAAAAATCTCCTTTTTAAGGAAAGGATTGCATAAAAAATTCTGCCCAATGAATTTTTCTCATTTTTACATATAACGTTCCTTATGTCAATGATACCATTATATCAAAGTATCAAGCATGGTCATCAGGCTTATAAGGGAGTTATGGTTGCCATGGTAACCACCATTTTTTAATCTTTTGATATTTATGAGGTGAATGTTTTATAATGCCATACATGCAACAAAACTGAAGCAAATTAAATATTTTCCTGCAGATATTTAATAATATGCTTTATATTTATTGAAAATAAAAATAGTTTCGGAAATTATTGATAAATGTAGTAATGCCATTGCTTTTTGGGGAAGTATTAATTGTAAATTTGCAGTAATATTTTCACCTCAATAGCAGTTTTTAACGTCTAGACAAAAAATTACCCAATGAATTTTCCCAAAACTAATACATGCTGTACTAGTCATTATAAGTGACTTTTGGTTTAAATATGAAGTAAGGTAATCAGATTAATTTTGAAGCTACACGCATTTCATTACCCCCCCCCCCCTCCTAGAATATTAAAAGATTTCACGATTTTCATATGGTGATTGTTGTTGGACCTTAAATATGCATAATCTGTTTAAAGACACTAAAGGCCATATGTATCTATTAGATAAATAAATACTTTTTCTCTGAAAATCTGGCAGCTGATGCTCATTTTATATGTGAAGCACAATGATTTACTTATCACCGACAGTGGTCACGAAAATAACTTCTTTTTTTTTCAAACTCAGTTTTTCATCTCCAAAACATTAATTTTGTTACTATATCAGTATAAATAAATAATATATTATAAACCAGTCCTCAAAGGCCTTATTCTTCATGCTTAGAACACTCAGCGATGTTTCTTCGTAGTGACCTGGAATCGGGGGGTGGGGGGGGGGGGTCAGACAATTGAACACATTGAATGAAAAGAGGTTATTTTACATTGTACTTGTAACTGCATTATATACTAGTATATATTTTTTGAAATAAATGTATTCATCCATAAATTATCTTATTGGCCAAATTATAGTAATTCTAAGTATTCACATTTACAAATAGTTTTCCTTCCGATTCTTTTCATGTAAGAACACTTCATTTTCTCCTGTACATGGATGAGCGCTATCTCCATTGTGACGTCTTAATGACAAAATTGACGTCAAAACTATAGATATACTGGGCGCGCTTGATTTGTCTACACCTTACACCCGGTGTACACTTTTTCATAATCAAGTGCAAAAGTGTACACTTTTGGTGTACACCTTCTACACCCTGTGCAGGGCATGTATAGGTAATTACACCGAAAATTCAATATGGCTGACAAATGACAAAACGGTAAAACTGCAGAATTTCTTTTTCTGAATTTGAATTCACTGTCAAGTATTTGATAGGTTTATTGTGATGAATTGTTTTTAGTAATATAGTGGACCATGTTTTGTGCATTTCATGGAAAATGAAAAACTTCATAATTTGTAAAATAAAAAATTAAGCAAATTTTGCAAGTTTGGGTGATAAAGTCTCTAGATATATTTGACTATGGCTAGATATTTAGTTATAGAGGAAATTATGGGCAGCTAGGAAAATGTTTAATAAAAAAATCTTTGCATTTTGTAAAATGTTTTGTTTTTAAAGGAATTTCAAAAGAATGTTCACAATCGCAACACATATTTTATCAAAAAATCGTCTGCAAATAGGCCCCCTCAGTTTGTTGAAATTTTGACGTCCATTTTGAATTTTCCACACTACACCCAATTTCACTTGATTATGAGGTGTAAATCGTCTACATCGGGGGAAGTAAGGTGTAGACAAATCAAGCACGCCCACTATTTGATTCAAAACTTTCCGTTGCTTTATGATATATGCTGGAGTGAAATATTTATGTTCATGCCCATGTGATTAAAAAAAAACATTTTTCAAATGTATTCCCATAAGCATAATGAGTTCACATGTTGTTTTTTTTTAATTTATTTATGTACATTATCTTCCCTGGTATTCTTTCAGAAGAAGTGTGTTGTGTTTCAATACGTCGCATATGCAATATTTACAACAATCGTTTACGATATATGTGCGACGATGATTGAATGTTTACACGGTCGATGTCACTACTGAAAATGCTAAAGATCTTATAGGAGAAAAGAAAATCCTCTACGATATTTTTTAAAGATATGCCTTCTAGGCATAAGTGGTCTTCGCCGTAACACGTTTATCAAAATCGCCTTCGTTAATCAATATTTATACATGTACCTAGTAAATCACGTCGTCTGAATTGCTTATTGGAAATTATCTATATATAGATGTAGATCCTATGATAAACAACAATCTTAAATAAAATTCTAATTTTTAAATGAAGATATAAACTCAAGATATAAATCAAATTTATTTTAAATGAAATAGATTTCAATGTTCAAAGATATACAATAGATAGACGTGTCAAATCGTAAAACATGCACGTAAATAAAAAATATGATCAACGCTCACCAACACTCTCAGTGCATCGTAACAATCTTTAATATCTTATACTTTTTCTACTTTAGAAAAATAAACCCCTTTTGTCATGAGTGCAAACATATGACGCTCCTTATTCCGGAAATAGTTACAGCAAACATTCTTTTTTTATTCACCAAATGACGTGATCACGTGACGCCGTGCAATCGCGTCCTTAATTATGTTCCCCAAACGAAGTTGGGGAACATATTGTTTTTACTCTGTTTCTTATTATTATTATTTTTCTTCTTCTTCTTCTTCTTCTTCCTGGGTACTTTTTTGTCCGGGAGTGATCTTGTAAACTATATGTTTGACTAAGTTAAAACCTTTTTAGGGTCAGTAGGCATGTTATGTAGATTTGCGGAACGAAGGTCATTTTGCGCGCACGTGCTTGCAAGAGCGTGCACGTGCAACACGTGAAATGACCGATTTAATTGATATAGGCGTAACTTTTTAGATTTTTGATGAAATCCTTTGAAACTCATAATATAAGGATATATTAGAATCATAGACAATATGACATGGTCAAAATAACAAGATCTCACGCGCATGCACGTGCGCTTCGCTCTGATTGGCTGAAACTAAAGTCTCAATATCTTTCTTGTTTTTTTACGAAATCCTTAGAAATTTTGAACATCGCCATGCATTAGGATATCTTACAACTTGATATATAGCAATTATCATGAAAACACGTGCATGCACGTGTGCTGCAATCTGATTGGCTTAAACTTTAAATAGCTATATCTCCCTTGGTTTTCAACCAAAGAGGATGGGATTTGGAACATAGATAGATATTATGGACTTCTACAAGAAATTACGGTTACCATGCACATGCATACATGTGTGTGTACATGCGCTGCAATCTGATTGGCTGAAACTTTAAACAGCTATATCTCCCTTGGTTTTCAACCAAACGGGGTGGGATTTCGAACATAGATAGATGTAATGGACTTCTACAAGAAGGTGTAATCACCATGCCGTGTATGCACGTGCGTGCACGTGAAATGAGTAAAATCAAAAATACACTTGTATGAGCATATTTTTTTAATACTTTGGATCAAATACTTTAATATTTAGTATATTAAAATATATAAATTGTGTAGACAAGATGATATGGTCATTACGCACATGCATTCACATGCACAAGCGTGCAATGCTAAAATTTGAATGAACTTGGTACACTTCTGGGTAAAAGTTGTTAAAATCTCAAATGCATAGAGTTTGTCTTATTTAATGAAGCTTACAGGGAATATGGCACCAAAAGGGAGTTGGGGAGCGTTTGGGGAACATCTGTAACGGTCCCCGTTACAATTAGCACTAGTTATTTGTTCAATTATATGGAAAGAAATTAGTTTTTATATATGATATCATATTTCTAAGAAACATAAAAAAAACAAGCTTAAGGTTGGTATACAGTGACAAATTTTATACAGTATCATTTAAAAATAAGAATATTTCTAGAATAACAGCAACAATGTAAAACTACCCAGTTCTCAAGAAGTTATTCAGCTACCAATTCAAGTACACGACTTGTGATTAAGGCAATCTCAACACTGCTCAGTGGAGTTTAAATTCCAGGCAGTTTTATGCAGTTAGAGTGGTATGCCTTTTGATGTAAAATGGAATAACTAGAATGCTACCGCTGTCTAAAATAACACAGTTTAGACTAGAATAAAGTATTCTAGTACTAAACACTGTGTACATGTACATTCCCAATGCCAGTAAACAACAGTCATTTCTGTTCACTATAATACTTCAATGTTTAGTAAATATTTTTTCTGAAGAAATATGGCATGTATCCTATGTTGAAAATAAACTAGAAAAATTCAATATGTACACCTTTACAAGATAATATTTTCTCACCTAAAAAGAATTTCTTGTCAGTGTTTAGAGCCACCTTTACAATAAATATAAATGTTATTTACAGTAGTTAATTTCACTTGACTTCTAGCTCTGTACCTTGAACATCGTGAACGTGTATCCCAGAATTCCTGAACACAGAGGTAAGGCGATTTGTTGAATCAGTACAAGACAGAAGGAGAAGACTGGAGCCATCACTGTTATAAGCAAAACACATGTAATTTAAACATTAAAGAAGAATTTATTGTTAATCTTTTCTCTGGCTCTCTGACTTGACCGTTGTAGAGTATATTAATCTGCAGCAAGTCAAATAATGGAAGATATCAGCAAGTGACAAAATTCACTTTTCACACAGAACTTCTTAATGAGTAGGTCAATAGGGAACAGGCTTAATGAACATTCATCAAATTACAAACCACTGGTAAATAAAATTTACATTTACTTACCAAATAGCAGAAAAGAATATGTTTAATAAAATCATGCTTGTTAGATACTGAAGCCAAGTAACACTAAAATTAATATAACTTATGTGCTTCTACAGATTTTACATGTCAGAGTGTACATTACAGATAAAAAAATTTAAAAATGAGCACTGACTTTCTTGAGTTGATGAAATCCACAGCATCATGCAGGAGTGCACAAAGTCTAGCTGCTTTGTGTTCCAAACATGGACCCTAAAAAGAAAACACACAGTTTAGTTGTCCTGTGTTCTAGACATGGACTTTGTAATTAAAGAAGAACATACAGTTTACGCAGCACTGTTAAGGCCTACTATGAAAAATTAACGGAAAATGGACGTGCAAAAAAGGGGGATTTTTTTAAAATCTGAATTTATTTTAATTAAGCTGTTTTATTATCAGAGAATTTAAATACTTATGGGAATAGAATAGTATAATCCACTCTGTAATGTATGAAGTTTATAGTCCCATCGATGGACGGTCACGTGATGAATGCATAGTTCGTGTACTGAATGTGGGTCATTAACAAATTTCAATATCGCAAGGGCACACCCTAGTTGAAATTAAAAATTCAAGCTATTTAATAATTGTTTCTGCATACTTCGTAGTTTCTGAAAAGTGCTGCTGCTTTGAATAGAAATCCCATTTTAATAGTTAAATTTTCAAGTAAATAGGCCAATGTCGAAATATGTTTGACTTTTACCAAATATTTTGTGTACTTATAAAACCACGCCCTCAATTTAAAGAAAGCAGCAGCACTTTTCAAGTTAAGAAAAATATCCTTTATCTATATTCAAAAAATGGTTAAGATCTATGCAGTGTATGCCCTTGCGAAAGTACAATTTTATGAGGCATCTTGATGTAAAATAAACGTAACCTGTACCTAAAAACACGACATAATTAATAAAATACATTTTCTTTATAGTTAATGAATAATCGTACGAAACAAAGGATATACATTGGTATTATTCTACTATTTAAAACCTGTAAATAATATTCCGTTTAAAAATAAAACGCATTTTTCATTGTTAAAAAATTCCTCAATCTGCCTCTCACAGCACATGAAATAATGTTATTTTTACCAAAATGACGTCATATTTACAAGTCCATCGCCATCAGTGCTTTGTTTATAACCAGCTACATGGGATTTAACTAGCAAATTTTTTTGATGCATTGATAAGTCTTATTGTTGTTTATTATGCTTATACAGTTAAAATTTGCAAATTATTTCATTTTCAGATATTATGAGAAATACACAAAAGTAATATTTTTGTGTGACGACACAGTAAATTTTTCCTGTATAAATTAAGCCCCGCCCCCTTTTTCAAGCCTTAACAATGATGCATAGTTGTGTTCTAGACATGGACCCTGTAATGAGAGAACACACAGTTTAACAGCCTTTTTTACAGACAAGTGAAGGACACATACTTTAATTACCTGGGCTATGCTTCATGCTTACATCTTATACAGAAGTGTGCAGGGTGAAACTTTTTTGCACCTGTTGTCACTGGAGGATAAGAAGTTTAGATAATCTGATCATGTTTGTCTTTTATATCAATTATGGCTACATTTAGGTTTATAATATATGCTCTTTATCTGTTTATATTGTGCATATTAAAATCTTATTTTGAATCAATTTAGTTTCCTTAACATTTAATACTTCAGTGGTTGCTAAGTTAGAAATATAGGACATAGGTTTATTAATCACTCCTTTTTCAAAGATGCCACCCAGAATTCAAGGATTTCACATTTCAACATTAATATGGTAAAAATAGAAAGCTTATATACTCTTCATCTATTATAATTATAATTTGGTCCAGTACAGTATCAAATATCTCTATATATGAAGGATAATTCTGAAATTATTTGCCTTTCTGTTTTGATATTAACCATACTGGGTTGAAATACAATCCACAACCAACCAACAGGAGACAATGTGAAAGCTTAAATTAAAACCTTGTAAGAACAAACCTTTCTTTATTATGTCTATTATGCAGACATTCTTTAAACAATTTTAAACAAATAAATTACTATCATTACCTGTAGTTGTTCGATAAAACTGTCAATGTCATCCAAAATGACAAGATCAGGTCCCACAACTCTGTTATGTACCGTGGCACAAAATTCTACAACTTCCTCCACATTTTTCAGGTACCTACAAAGAGTCAAACAACTCAGTATGACTTATTTAATATTTTATCCTGGAATGTACATGCATACCTTCTGTCATACCATAAAAGAATAGAAGCAAGTCAAGGAATTTTAAGAGTAACTTCTAAGAGATGTTACAAGTGTATAATGATTTTCCCATCTTTCTTATTCTTATTGCAGATTTAAAACAACATACATGTATTTCAAAAATGTCAAAACAGGAAAATAAACCAAATATAAATGAAACATCATTTACATCAACAGCAAAATTGAGGTACTTAAGAACATGAAGAAAGTCATAAGTTTTTGCCCAGAAATATTAAAATAACAATGTTTTTCAAGAATCACAGTTCATTTTTTTCTGTGCAACTTTTTGAAAATGACATCACTGTTAATAACATATAGTCGTATTTAAGTTATAAAATGTCTTTCATACAAAAATTTGACGTTTTTGAGAACATCTGCCTCGGGTTTGGGCATTCCATGTACTCCTGGGGGGAGGGTGCTGAGGGGCTGGTGGCAGATGTAGGTCACACTGGCTTCCTTGGTGGCGAAGGAGACAGCACATTGAAACAACAAACTCTGCAGAGTTCTTCAAGAAAAAATAAAATGTTGAGATTTTTAAATCAAGATAAAATAAAACAACCATACAAGTGAATGTATAAAATTTATGTAACAGAGACAAGGATGTGCCTCATTTTAATTAGGATAATCCCAAAGCATCTGTCTTGCCAGTCCAGTGCTCTACCAAGTGAACTGAGCTTAAGGATTATTTTTACCCACTAGCTAGTAGGATCGAAGCAGTGAATCAAACTTTACCACATTTACATTTGCAACTTCATTGGAGATTTTCAAACATGGATAATGACACAAAATTATGTAGCTGCAGCTCGCTGTTCTGAAAATATTGGGATGGACAACCAGGGTAAATAATGTATACTCTTTTTTTAATGGGTGGTGCTGTAGCTCTCTAGTCGTCCTCGCTATATCAGGGGTCCTAAGTCAGCATGTTGACGATCATTTTCGCTAACCCTTGGCTAGCTAAGATGGTTGCCGATGGACCCTGGCATAGTTTATTCAATATTCCTGGGCTGAATAAAGCGACATCTTTCAGAAAAATTACAAATCTTGATTGTTATTCTCATCCCTCAACCAATAAATGTGTAAAGTAATTCTAGGATAACAAGCTTATAATACAAGCATTTGAGGTATGGACTGTCAACTGCATCTTTTTTGTTTATACTATCTAACAGTTTTTGAAAGCTTGAACAGACTGATGTTTCTCAATGAGAGAAGCAATCCAAATGGAATATGCCAGGGGTTCAACTAAGACCCCTGGTACAGGGAGGATGCTCTCTGGTCATCCATCACTTTTTTTTCAGAACAGCGAGCTACAGAGGTGCAGCAAAAAATCAAATTGGCCTACTCACACTAAATTTTTGCTTTTTAAAACACAGTGATCTACATTTGCAGTGATGAGTGATTTAATTGTTGATTCACGATTTTCAGAAAAATGGCAATACGGTGACTCCAAGGGGAAAATGTGCGTTAGGGCAATCATACTCTATCGTTCCCTTCATCCAGATAAATTAGAGCACTGTCATCATTGAATGCTAAAAATATCATCAAGATCTTTTCCATTATCAGATTATTATAGCAAAACTTAAAATATTCCTTCTGCAGTTTACTTCGAAAATGAAAGTAGAAACATCGATATTACAGAATGCTCGATCTCAAAATACGAATATTTTATAGTAATTTATGAATAGTATGTAAATCTGTCAAAACAAATAAAGAAAAAAATAAGTCTAAAATTTGTTTATGCAAATAAAATGTTATAGAAAATGTTATTCATGGATGTAACAATTATGTTTTCGTTTTGTGAAATATATTCCACAAACTAGATTAACCCACTTATCTTGCGGTTTGATTGGATGGGGATGACTTCATCATTTAGTAAATAAGAAAAAAATAACTCTTTTGATCAAGATGACCTCACCTGCGTAGAATACCAAAAATAGAATAATTAAATACCTGCATACGGACCAAATCTGGTTGTAATCGAAATAAGTAAGTAAGTATTTTATGCACGTCATGATAAATGCAGAAAAGTTTCCAATGCCAAGGTTATATCTGATACCTGTACATAGTCAAGTTTAATTTTAAAATTTTTGCCATGTATTTATTTGCGTTTGTGTTTGAAGATATGCATTATAACTCATATTGAGCACATCAAGCTTTTTGTCCTAAATAAGTACAGTTATTGCAAGTTTGCACTTTGCAACGCTGCTGTACATAGCTGCATGTATGAAGAAGACAAAAACTAAGAGATGTCAACCATTATAAAAAAAGGGACAAATTTAAGTTATGTAAACTGACTAAACTCTGCATAGAAGATGGCTACTTGATGTCATGACTATTCATACATACATGCATTTTATATTTCTTTTTTTGTGGATAACTCCAGGGACCTACCTAATCATGCCGATCGATGTATACACGATGATTCACATTATACGTTATATCAAATTATAATGCCATATTGCATTAATCATATAACTATCATAAGATTAGTGGAGTTTAATTGTCATATTAGTTAGACTATACTTTAAGAGTATGGGGTGTTTTACATACCTAGATTTTACTCCAGCATGATAGAGGTTCATGGCGAGATACTTTTGACTTTGTGTTGTGATTAGGGACGTTAACTGAGGCTCATACTTGTAGGACTATACTGTGATACCAGCTAGAACAATGTGTCCTACAGAAATACAAATTATCTATCTCTTTTCATTCATAATATTTTGTATTGATTGCAAACATAGCAATGGAAAAAAAACATGGTTTATTCCTGCAATACCATGAAGTCAAAGACTAAGGTTGTTACATCTATTATGCTAAAATAAAGAGTGTGAATTCATTTAAAATAGTATGTTTTGTAAAGACATACAGTGTTAGAAATTACGTACATCCCTCTTATCAACTTTAATTTTAGCTGTAGGAGGAGTGTGCTACTTGAACCTAAAAAGTACCCCTGGGCAGTCTTAACTGTGGTTACCCCTGGGTTAGTCTTAACTGTGATTACCCCTGGGTAAGTCTTAACTGTGATTACCCCTGGGGCAGTCTTAACTGGGGTTACCCCTGGGCAGTCTTAACTGGGGTTACCCCTGGGGCAGTCTTAACTGGGGTTACCCCTGGGCAGTCTTAACTGTGGTTACCCCAGGGTTAGTCTTAACTGTGGTGACCCCTGGGTTAGTCTTAACTGTGGTGACCCCTGGGTTAGTCTTAACTGTGGTGACCCCTGGGTTAGTCTTAACTGTGGTTACCCCTGGGTTAGTCTTAACTGTGGTTACCCCAGGGTTAGTCTTAACTGTGGTGACCCCTGGGTTAGTCTTAACTGTGGTGACCCCTGGGTTAGTCTTAACTGTGGTTACCCCAGGGTTAGTCTTAACTGTGATTACCCCAGGGTTAGTCTTAACTGTGGTGACCCCTGGGTTAGTCTTAACTGGGGTTACCCCTGGGCAGTCTTAACTGGGGTTACCCCTGGGCAGTCTTAACTGTGGTTACCCCAGGGTTAGTCTTAACTGTGGTGACCCCTGGTCAGTCTTAACTGTGGTGACCCCTGGGTTAGTCTTAACTGTGGTGACCCCTGGGCAGTCTTAACTGTGGTGACCCCTGGGCAGTCTTAACTGTGGTGACCCCTGGGTTAGTCTTAACTGTGGTTACCCCAGGGTTAGTCTTAACTGTGATTACCCCAGGGTTAGTCTTAACTGTGGTGACCCCAGGGTTAGTCTTAACTGTGGTTATACCCCGGGGTCAGTCTTAACTGTGGTGACCCCTGGGCAGTCTTAACTGTGATTACCCCAGGGCAGTCTCAACTGTGGTGACCCCTGGGTTAGTCTTAACTGGGGTTACCCCAGGGTTAGTCTTAACTGTGGTTATCCCTGGGTTAGTCTTAACTGTGGTGACCCCTGGGTTAGTCTTAACTGTGGTGACCCCTGGGTTAGTCTTAACTGTGGTGACCCCTGGGTTAGTCTTAACTGTGGTTACCCCAGGGTTAGTCTTAACTGTGATTACCCCAGGGTTAGTCTTAACTGTGGTGACCCCAGGGTTAGTCTTAACTGTGGTTATACCCCGGGGTCAGTCTTAACTGTGGTGACCCCTGGGCAGTCTTAACTGTGATTACCCCAGGGCAGTCTCAACTGTGGTTACCCCTGGGTTAGTCTTAACTGGGGTTACCCCTGGTCAGTCTTAACTGGGGTTACCCCAGGGCAGTCTTAACCATGTTAACTGTGGTTATCACTGGACTGGTCTTAACTGGGGTTATAATTACAATTCATCATTTTGTTCTGTTGTTCAAAAAACAAGGATACTGTGCAGATCTTGTAATTTGACAGAATGAAAATGTTAAATATCATGAATAATATGGTACATGATGTCAAGTCTTCTTTCATTCTTTTCAGTTTGGATGCAATGTCTTTATATATTTAAAACTTTCCTTCTTGTTATAGGAACTTTTTTTCTGTTTTCTCTTTTTTGAATTTTTTGTTCTATACAAGCGGTAAATATACATTATGTGTTATTTGATATCTTGAAATCTTTTATAAAAGTATTCTAACCAGTAAAACAAGAAATTACAGTTCTCCCCAGGTCAGAAAGTTTATGGCTTGACCCGGTAAGAATGTAACTCAAACCCAGAGAAAAATTCAGTAATACTGCTTTTTACAAGCTCCTAAGTAAATAAAAAGAATAATGCATTTTAAACTATAATTAACTTTCATACCTTACATCTTGTTACACTTATATATATATATTAGCACGGGATAAGGTATGCTCTGTGATGGACAAAAAAATCAAAACAAAAACCAAAAAAAATTCATTGAAACAAGAGTTCCATGATCACTGTGATAAATAATTTCATATAGTTCCTATCTGACAAATTTTTAAAATGTTCACAGTAATAAATTTGGAGTCTTCAACTTGTCCACTAAAAGTTGGTTGATCACTGTTAAAAGTTGGAATTAAATGAAGTGGAAAATAAATTAAAGAAAGGGACATGACTTGAGTGTGGGGTTGTCTTGTCATGAGTCATGGCTTTATCAATGTTTAGCTTTACAATGTCTCCGTTATCTGGGGCCCTGTGACTCAGCACTGATGTTAAAGCCCTATGTTTGTTCAGCATTGTCCACATGGGTTTTAATTTAAAAAAAATTAAATGATCTTAGTTTCATTTAAGGTAATAATTGTGTGGTCATAATGTGTTTGGGAAATTCCAGTCAATGAAAAATGTATAAGAATTCTTTGTCATGCCTGAGCAGTCAAGTAAAACATGTGCATTTAAATTCCAAGGAAGTGTGTTATGTTGTAATTGAGTGATTTAAATTCTTCTTACAGGAAGTATCGAAGGACTGCATTGTGAATCTTGAAAAAAAAAATGAAGTCAAAAACTATTACACCAAATGGTGGCATGGGTGAAGAATCCCATGGGACTGACCAATGACTAGATAGTGGTGTGCCGGACACTGGTAACCATGACAACCAGACCACCTGTTGCCTAGGTAACAGAATGACCAACAGTGTGATGGACCTATCAAATCACGCTGGACAGGTAGTCGGTAGCGAATTTGATGGAGATGGATCAGAGGAGAGTTTACAGTGTGAGGAATTATCAGATGCCAGTCCAGATTGTGGTTGGATTTTACTGGATCAGGATGTCCTGGCATCACTTCTGAGGAATGGCCTGGATAAGGTAGGAAGTCCTTAAAAGTGGGGTACATTTTCTGTATATGACAGTGTATTATGGATGAGGTTACAGCAGCCCATTTCAGTCTGATAAAACTATGGACAGTGTATGATTTTACACTAATTTAATTCTATACATTAAAAGCATTGTACTTTGTTGTATGATGGAAGAAAATATATGCTCTTCAGTGTAAGTCTCTAACCATGCTATCTCTTAATAGTTTTAAAATGTGTTGACCATAAGATGCATATTCATGTCATTGTATGGTCTAAACATTATATACCACAGTTATCACAGAAAACCTTACTTAAACACACAAGTGTAAGGTCTGAAATAATACAGGCATGTGTATAAACATTTGGATTGAATATCTGGTCAATTGTCATCAGTTAAGTTAATGATTTGCTTTCAACTTGGAGGCAAGATTTTAGGTCACTATTCAAAAGAGCTCTGCAACAAGTACCCACCTCCCCTCCCCAGGCCATCAGAATCATAAAACAGAAACACTCCCCCCCCCCCCCCTTCAGGCTCAGCTTCATACCCTCAGCAGACTAAGCTTAAAGCGAGCACCCCAGACATACTAAACCCCACCCCCTTCAGGCTTAGTATGTGTACCATCCTGTCTGGGTCTGGTTCAGCTTAAAACTTACTTCCATCTGCCATCTAGTATGGCTTAAAACAAGCACTGAACCCCCCTCCCTCAAGCCAATACCAGTAGGGGACCAGTTGAGACTTTGTCTGGTAATGTTACAGACAAAAACACAGCACTAATCTCTTCATTGACATAGAAATGTTATAATAATGTAAAGTGCATGTTGAGTAAAAATAGCTTTCTGCCACTTTTGATCATATTGATGAGATCTAGCTGAAATAGTAAACTAAATTGAAACACCATCTTGCTGAGCTGCATCAGTTTCTCTTAGTACATGTATAATGTCCATAGAAGATGGAGAAATGAGTTCTAGTGAAGACAGAAATGTAGAATTTCATGCATTATAAAACATGTTTGCACTGGTAAAACATCAGAATTGTTAATTAGATTTATGCATGAACATACCTGAATTTTGTTTATGATATAAGCAAGTGTACTGGTTTGCTCTTTAGTCAGATTGTTTTATATATATGCATGATATACCTGGTATGTGATGAGTTTATAAATGATATACCCGATATGTGATGAGTTTATAAATGATGTACCCAGTATGTGATGAGTTTACAAATTTTTACAGAGCATATATTGATTGTGTTGATGGGAAAACAATTATACAAAAAAAAAAAAAAATGAAATGAAAAGATTTCTCACAGTTGAACCATCTTTTAATTATGCATTTCTTGCATTATTATCTATCCAAAGGGACCAAAGAAGTATGTAGATCTGACATATATCCTTAAATATCAATTAATTTAATATATTTTGAAGATGTCAAAAATGCATTTGTGTATAAATTTTCTAAAATGATTGAATGATGTGAAATTGTACATGTTGAATAGATTTTAATAAATTTTATTTATTTAATTTTTTTTTTAAATTTTAATGAGAATGATTAAAACAATCTGACATTTTGATGGAACATGTATTGATGGACAAACTGTTAAATATTAGATATTGTTCAACTTCATATAAAAAATTATTCACATGAACAAAGCTTTGTGATGTACATAAAGTTCCTTATATTTTGATGACCTCACTCAGTAAAATCCAGACTTAATTCATGAGATTGGATGTTAAAAAGTCCAATAATTCGTCATACACATGACCCGTTCAGTAGAGTATTCTGTTAACACTGTGTAAATTTAGCCACAGTAATGATTTTTGCTCAGGGCTTACACTTTTTATCATTAATGGGAGCTATTATGTTTACAAAACAAGAAATATTGATAATTTCAAAGCACTTTATTATTAAACATTTGTCTGCATCACTCTTTCAACATGTTCAACCTTTGAATCAATTGGGAAGGGGGGGGGGTCATTCAGATCAAGGGAGGTCACTCAGTCAGTTGTAGAAGGATTATCTCTCTGTATCACTCTCTGGGAGATTTACTTAAGCTATGAATTGAAGGGGTGGGTGGGGCACAGGTCAAGGGAGATCACTTAGCCAGTTGTAGGGGCACACGTCAAGGGAGGTTACTCAGCCAGTTGTAGGGACACAGGTCAAGGGAGGTTACTCAGCCAGTTGTAGAAGGATTATCTCTCTGTATCACTCTCTGGGAGATTTACATAAGCTTTGAATTAAAGGGGTGGGTGGGACACAAGTCAAGGGAGGTCACTTAGCCAGTTGTAGGGACGCACGTCAAGGGAGGCTACTCAGCTAGTTGTAGGGACACAGGTCAAGGAAGGTCACTCAGCCAGTTGTAGGGACACAGGTCAAGGGAGGTTACTCAGCCAGTTGTAGGGACACAGGTCAAGGGAGGTTACTCAGCCAGTTGTAGGGACACAGGTCAAGGAAGGTCACTCAGCCAGTTGTAGGGACACAGGTCAAGGGAGGTCACTTAGCCAGTTGTAGGGACACAGGTCAAGGGAGGTTACTCAGCCAGTTGTAGGGACACAGGTCAAGGAAGGTCACTCAGCCAGTTGTAGGGACACAGGTCAAGGGAGGTTACTCAGCCAGTTGTAGGGACACAGGTCAAGGGAGGTTACTCAGCCAGTTGTAGGGACACAGGTCAAGGGAGGTTACTCAGCCAGTTGTAGAAGGATTATCTCTCGGTATGGCACTCTCTGGGAGATTTGTGAACATAAGCTTTGAATTAAAGGGGGAATGGGACACAGGTCAAGGGAGGTTACTCAGCCACTGATCAGATTATAGAAGAATTAATGTTTTCAATAAATTAGATAATACCTGGAGAAGTTTGTTTTCTCTCCTGGGTAATTTAACCTCAGAATGGCCTGGAGTTTATTTGACTCCTGATGGGTTATAATATACAGGGGGAGGGGTGACTCATTCTGTGTTACTTTGTGTGCCAGAGGCTCAAAGAATTACTCTGTTATCCAAGGTACACACCAACAATGATGAAGAAAAATAACTAAAGTGTTTGAAATACAGAAACACATTTATCTGCACATTGTTTTTTTTTTTTTACGTGTAACTAATTTTTTTTTTTGGTAGGCAAGAATTTCAAGACCTGCTAAATAATGCTGAGTAATAAATGCAGTAGATTCATGAAAGCAGTATATATACGTGTAATGTTTTGTCTTAAGAGCGAAGGTTTTGTAGAAAATTTAAAAAATAATGTTCAGGAAGAGTGAACAAGGCTGACTTATCCCCCCCCAATCACCTTGTATTCTCCAGTGAAGTGTGACTGCAGACATTCCATCAGAATTCGTCATATGTCATCGGCCCATTACATTCCCTGTTCTTCTACTTGTTCAGTTTTAATTACCAGTGATCAATGACTTTGGAGTTTAGAACCACAATATACATAAGAGCGAGCCTTAGAGAGAGAAACATGAAGACCAGTACTGCTACATCTCTGAAGGTCAAACAGAAAAACTCATTACTAGTCAATACATGTCCTTTTATTATTTTTTAATGAAGATGTGGAAATCAATTATGAAGTCATTTGGAAAGAGCACTGTGTTGTCACTTAGAAAACAAAAAAAAGGCAGCTTGACGACAGCTGAGTCATTATAGTGCAATGTCTTCGTTGGCAGCTAGTTCTTTGATTGACCCCCTAGCTTAACACAATGTATTCCATCAATGTTCACAGTCCTCTTATATAGTGCAGACTGGATTACAATTAAAACTGGCATAATAAAGTTCATATCGGTGGAAGATTTGTCTAAATACTAATATTATTATAATTGTTGATTTTTTGGGTCATTTTAATATTCTTTTTTACCTAAATTTGATTTGACCTGTATACATATATATGTGTGTGAGTTTTTTGGAATGGTTTAATTGACACAAAGTTTTCTCTTCTCCTCATCATGATCATGCTCATGTACATTTTCTGATATCACTTGTATTTTGATAAGTTTTAAATGTTTTGCTGATCACCCGTATATATTTTTGTTTTAGAATTAGAGTGTTTCTGTCATAATTATGGTCCTATGTGCTGGCATCTCACCTGTATAATATGTCAGTTGTTGTGTTTTATGTCGGGTGTACCTGTATAATATGTCAGTTGTTGTATTTTACGTCCCGCGTACCTTGTACCCCAAGTGTTTGAGGGGGTCCTAATGACTCACCAGACACCCTGGCAGAATCCAAACACTGACAATGATAATAACGAATTAAAAAAATAGCAGTTTGTTGGGATAAAGCGTGTATGTAATATTTATAATCTCTAACATTCCTGGTTATTTAAATGTTGGTGCTTGTATAGAATTGTGGTGTTAAAGTACTGTTGCAGCATTTATCGTGGAGATGTATCTTGCTTGACAACAAGGGTACACAATCAATGTGGGAATGATGTACCCACTGTTACCAGGCTGATGTCAAGGTCAGAAGGAAGGTCATCTGCCACGGAACACGAGTCAATAGACCCTCTCCATGAAGAGTCAATCAAAGCTTTCTGTATCAGTTTATTTAGTCTGATGGTTGCATATTGGAAACATTGTCATCTGTGTACATCCTCTAGGTGTTTTAACATTTGATTTAAATAAGTTTTTTTTAATGCATTTGATAAATTGCATCCATTATGACACATTAGCATTATCATCACCTGGCACCTTGATGTGAAAACCCAGGACAAATGTGTCATACCTAGATATAGATTCTGACAAAACTAAGGGTGGAATTTTTAGTCAGATACTAATCAAAACTGAAATCCTAAAATGTTGAGTGCAGCATTAGGTCATACCCATATAACAAGCATTTATTTCATATGTCAGCCTATAAGACAATAAGTTAGATATGTATGATATATATCACTGTATATGATCTGATGATCAAAGTGATCATATGAGCACATAATGAGAAAAGTAACTTTTCAGGGACAATAGAATTGTGAAAATTCATTGAGTGATTGATGCTGATCGAATTATAAATGTATCATGATTTTATGTAATAAGTCAAGGTCAGCTGCATTCCAGCTTCAATGGTTTGTTGTAGAATTGGACTTAAGATAATTCATATAATTTAAATCAACATTCACTGCACAGTCCCAGCTTCATTGGAAAGAGGGGGGGGGGGGTGTTATCAGGTTGTTACTACGTTTGTTGATGTTAATGATAATTAACTGTTGTGGTAATTACATCATCTTCAGAGGTACAGGAGGTGAGTAGTAAGACACGATCCAGATGTTTATTCAGTGGTTACTCACCTGTTTACAGCAAAGGATACGGGTGACACAGAGTATTTAGATATCTTATCTCAACCCTGGGGTTAATTCCTAGACCTTTCAATTACATCAAGTTAGTGACTGGAATTAAGAGCATGTCATTGAACATATTGAATAAACTGTCAATAAGGAGCAACATAATTAATAATATGTATTTACATGATACAAGTTACAACAGGCAGTAGGAAAGGAAAATATATATGGCTGGAATGGAACTAGGGAACCAGTTTATAGTCAGTTGCTGTACCGACTGAGCTAATAATTAAACTGAGATTCACCAAAATTGTTTGTTGACAAGTTCCTTATAGTATACAGTGATCATGTTTTTTATTGCATTGAACATTGAGTTTGTGTTCAGACTCGATCCATTCATAAAGTAGTTGTGGGATATGTACAGTAGTACTTGCTGAAAACCTCACACCATCATATACTAAACATCAGATATATATGCCATGTGGTCAAGTTACTGTGGTCAAAATCCTAGTTTTAGTTCAATGAATTTTAAAATTGTTGTACAAGGTCTGTGATTTGGTTGGTATAACAGAATTGTTTTAGGAAGTGGATCCTAAATGCCTAGGTGTAATATTCTCAATAATGTATTTGATTTCAGGGTACTAAACAAACATACAATTCACAAAAAATTACAAATAAATACAGAACGTAAGATGATTTCATTTTCTCAATTCATTTAAATAACTTAATTCAGTTTATCATTTGTTTATGGAGATACTGTAAAATCACATATTTTCGTGGGGTCAAATTTTCATGGTTTGAGTAAAAACTCTTGGTTCGTGGGGATTTGAATTTGTGGATGAAGAATTGTTGAGAAGTTATACTGAAAGGAAAAAGAAACGCAGGGTAAACTTTTGAGGTGAATTAAATTTGTTTTTCTTAAAATACTTTTTAGTTTTCCTATCTAACTTTTAAAATAATCTTTCAAAAAGATATAACCAAATTCTCAAATGATTTTGTGTAATTATTCATGAGTTATTGAAGCTCAAATGACGATACCTCCCAAAAGGGAAAATCGAAAACTCTCATAATCTCATTATCTTCAATGTCCATCTCGTGCATTTGTCAGAGTCTTATTTCTCCTTTGCATGGAACTTCATCAGAGTGTTTATCTTTCAAACCCTGGCTATATTTAGCATGGATAACCACGCAAAAAAATAAGTCAAACGGCGGAAGCGCATGCGCCAGTGAGAGGAATACAACAGTAAGTTGACTGGCTCAAAAAACCAAATTGCGGAATTGTTTTCTTTCAAATTTCGTATGAATGTAATGATTATAATCGTGTATAGCTATAAATGGCTGTTTTTGTGGTAGTAAGGTGGCGATTTAAGAGATGGCAGGACGAATAACCCACTCGTAACATGGCTCTGTTTCGCGTTAATTCATCGTCACGGTTGATTGAAATGCACTCCAGACGCTCTCTGACAACGGCTAAAAAGTTTTATGGGGGAAAATTTACAAGAGACTGCTTAGTAAACCGTTGTTGCCTTTTTCATTAATTGGGCAATTCGAAAACAAGACCCCATTGAACTTCCGTAAACTATGCCAAGATTGCAATAAATTCATAATGTCTCTTAATATTGAAAGACGATGTGCATACCTCATATGCATCAAATAATGCAACAAGATTTGTGGACAAACACGTCGTTATCAAATTGCACGTGTTTTGGGCTTTTTAGTGTTTTCCCTACGTGACGTCATAAATTTTACGGTTGGGTAATTCTGAATACTGATTTTGATGCACAGTAACTAAATTTCCCATCTGACCAATTTTCGTAATTTTCGGTCAAGTGGTCAAATTTTTATCGACAATTATGCTACCCTGCGTTTCTTTTTCCTTTCAGTATATGTATGTAACATTTTACATTTTCGTGGTGGACATGAATTCTTGCATCTTTTCATACCTCAAAAACACCGAAAAAATTAAGCCCCATGAAAATTTGTGATTTCACTGTAGTGTGTGCTTAAGGTAGGAATCTTCTCATTTTTCTAATATTTAAAATTTAATGAAATTTTCACAGAATCAGTGAAATTAAATTTGACCGTTTTATATTATAGGCAAGGTCAGGTCAAGGTCATTATCTTTTTCCTTGACATTAAGAATAAAAAATAACTGTTGCCAATCATGTGATACCTACTTCTATTTCAAAAGTTTAATGATTGTTCTTTTTGCATAAAAACATATTACTATATCTGGTCTATAGCATGATATTACAAAATTTACATAAATAATTTAACTTAACTGGATATTGGCTAATCCGAATTTTCTCTGTTTTTCTTAATTTTTTAGGATATATTAGATATTTTCATATGCTTCCTATATTTAACTTTTTCTTATTTTCACATATAATAAAGTAGTCTTATAAATGTACAAAATGATACAAAAACTAAAAGTTTTGATCGTTTACTTAGAGAGAAAAAATACTTTTTATGGATTTTTGGCTCAAATCTGCACTTTGACAGGAAGCGTTTAAAAGCTAATAAAGTTCTAGTTTGTTTGAAAAATCTTATTTATTTGATATATTTTGAAAGTTTAGTCCCTCATTATTAATTCAACTTACATTTGAAAATTTCTCCAAGTCTTTGATTGTGTAAAAGTTATAACTAAATTCATTGTTCTATTATAATTTTGAGAGGCAGAAAAGAAGATATTTTCATACGCCACCATTCTGCCAAAAATATAGTCCCTGCTAGTTTTCAAACGCAGTTTACCATTTCTATTTAAAGTTGTATAATTGTGACGAGGAAAGAAAAATATGGTCTTTTAAATTCCTTACACTTCAATATATAAGACATATTAGCAAATATACTTTGAAGGTTTCATCTAGCCAGAAACCAGAGAAGAATCCTACCTTAAATCCATAACTGTTGTACTAATAGAACACCAGTTTTTGAAAGTCAACCCAGCAGAATATAATGTTGTATCGGATTGTAAGAAAATCTGACAGAATTTGATGAGTATCATAACCTTTATTGAGATAGGTTCTCCTTCTAGTCCCCATTAATTACCAAACAGGATTTTTTCCCCCTTTATTTGTCATGGAAATTAGTAAAGCCTTGTTAACTCTGAACAAGGAACTCTGGTAATTAAGTCAACAGCTTCTATTGACCAATCATATTAATTGTCCAATAAAATCTGCATATTCCCTCTTATCACCTAGCAACCAGAATCTGGCTGATCCTTTGGAACTACAATAAGACCATAAAGCATCGCTTGATTAGATTCTCTGGGGTGTCCTTATAAGTTTCATGACTCTGGGATTACGATTTTGTCATAACCGTATTAGTGTCACAGTACAGAGCTATAATGTGTGGTCAGTTATCGTATATGGTTTCTGGGACATGGATTGATTAGTCCATTCTACTTCAGTTCAACTTAATTTAACTTTAAATTCATCAACAAAAAAGAATTACGTTATATAGAACAAAATTTGCAAAATAAAATATAAGATAATCTCTTTAACATGTTTAAAATGCACGTTAACTTTGATGACAAATTATCATAAGAAACTTCTAACGTATTTAGGGATGCTTGAGGTAACCAGTTGAAATTTACATCTTTATCTAAAGGAAAGAAAAATTATCATGTTTATAATTAAATAAGTCTAAAAAAAACAGGAAATTTAATTGACAGAATGTTTTATTTTTCAGATTCTGCTGATTGACAGTCGGTCATTTTTGGAGTACAACGATTCACGTATTCAACAATCTGTAAATCTCTGCTGCTCTAAACTGGTAAAGCGGAGGCTTCAGCTGGACAAGGTAATTATGTCTTCTATGACTGAGCCAGTGGCGGATCCAGGAATTTCGTATTTCTTAACCGCCGGGGGGGGGGGGGGGGGGGCACAGTAGAAGGAAGGGGGGGTGTCGGGGCAGCACTGAAGCCCCCAGAAGGTCTAGGGCAAGGCCCTAGTGGGGGTCTGGGAAGGTGACAAATTCTTACAAATAAGAGATGTTTTTTCCTTGATTTTAGTAGGATAATGGACATATTAAAAATTTATATTCAAACAGGAGGGTGCATGCCTGGCACGCCGGCCCTGGATCCGCCATTGCAAGTTACTTGCTAGTGATGGGGTATTAACGGGTCTACATGAACAAAACTGAACAGTCTAGCTGTCATAAACTTCTCTGCTTAAAAGTCAAAAAATACAACTTCAGATTGTTTTGTTCACTTTTATTGGAAAGAGATATGATATTAGTAGTAGTTACTAGTGTTGGCAACGAGTACCCGGTTAACCGTCGAACGATGCGAGTATAGGTTAGTAAAATTGCTAATCGGTTACTCGGATAGAATGCATCTTATAAGGTAAATAACTTAAAATTAAAATAAAATGTTTATTTGTTTATAAGCGTACAAATAAACATTTCTCTATTTTTCTTTACCGTTAGACTTAATTATCTATGGTTTCACTAATACGATTGATTGGTTTTCACAATTAATTGATATAGCTTTAATTGCCAGAAGGTAATACAACTTTTGAAGACCCAAGTTATAATTACCTCATTAAATAATTTAACAAGATGCCGCCAAGGACATGTACATGTATAGCTTGGAAGCATTTTAAAAGAACATCTGATTCCATACCTGTAAAATGTAATTAATGTGAATTGGATTTATCCTGACTTCAAATTTCTAAATAACTATTCCCCTTGATCGTGACATATATCGGGGGTTGAGGTTGTGTACAGTGTGCTGAACGCCATCGTAAAATAGCGTGAAACATTGAATATTTATTTTTCTTCTGATTTATTTAATTTTTTATTATAATTATATTTAAAATTCCAGATATGCGTGCGTGTTCTTTTTAAGTTTATAAATAAAGTTATTTCACAATTCCTTTGTGTTTTATTAGAACCGATGAGTAATAGATGAGATATAAATGATACATATTAATAAATCATCCGAGTAACCGGGTACTCGATCGGAAGATTGAGCGAGTAACCGGTTACTAAAAATCGTCCGATTTGCCAACACTAGTAGTTACCGTATAAGTTTGCGCCTTCAAGTGACCTATTAACCTCTCTGTAGGGTATCTAGAGAAAACCAATTAAAAACTTATATGGCAAGTCACATGTACCATAGCACTCTCAGATTTCCTAATATGGCAGGAAGATAATGTACAAGTTCCAAAAACATTTCCTAATATGGTTTGTCAGCTGACATACATGTAATTATAGAAGCACGCACTATACATTGTTTATATATACATGTGTATTACATTTTATTGAGCATTTTGCGCACTTGCAGTCAAAAAGCGACATTGGACAAATGTGATGCAATGAGCTTGGATCTTGATTTTCTTGAACTGCTGCAAAATTTTGAGTGGGACAATTCTATCGGAAATCAAATGCTTTCACAGATTGGCCAGTTGATAGAGGATGAATTACGGTAAACAACGAAGTAAACGTGTTTGAAGGTATTGGGGATTTATCTCTTACGCAAGCAGGTTTTCATTGGACCCAAGAGCCGGTTACACCCGAGAGTGTTATACAGCATTTGGACCATTCTGATGATCGATTTGGGAAGTTTTACGATGACGATGATATGGAAAACCTTCTAAAGTCTACTGAGAGTAAAACACGAGAAAAAAACACAAGTTGGAGTGTAAATAAAGTTTTTTTAAAATGCAATTCAAGGTTCCGCCTATAGGTTATGAGGGCTCCGCCCATGGGTTATGGTGTAGATAACTAATTAACAGATAAAACATTAGAAAAAATGTCGACCTATGGTACATATCATGTTTAATTAATGTGTAGAAAAAGAATACTATTTACGTTTACCAGTAATTGGGTACTTTCATTTTAAAATTGTTATTCCATTGGCCTTTAAAGTTGAAGGATTATGGATTTCTTATTAAAAGAACTTTGTACCCGCTAGCCATGATGTGAATCATTTCTATGTGTACTTAATGCTTTAAGCAATTTCTTGGCATGATGAATGAGATTTCAGAGGTACTGATTACACAAATTACAATGTAGTTCTAAACAAAAGTTCAGGATATAAAGCAATAAGTTTACAGGAAATCAGGATGGGAGATTTGTTTTTTAAATGGGATTTAAATCCTGGACAAACTTTAGGTATAAACAAAGTCTAAGCATGACATATGTCTGTTTGAGGTTGTGCACAGTGTGCTGATGATTCAGAGGGGATGGTATAATCTCAGCTAGCAATGTCTTACTACCTCAGGGGTAACACCAGTAAGCCTGTCAAGGTCTATGTCAGAGGTCATGACCTTATAAGCTGTCAATGTCTTTCCTTGTCTAGGGTTGTGACCCTATAGCTAGTCTTGTCAATGTCTGACCTTGTCAGAGAGAGTCATGACCTTATAGCCTGTCAATGTCTGACCGTGTCAGGGGTTGTGAACCTATAGCTTGTCAAACTGACATAAATGGCTGTTTTCAGTCCAGTATATTTGACTTAATGTGTAAAACTGCAAACAAACTCTGAATTGACCATGCAGTCTCACTCCTACAAATTAATGCCTGCTGATTTTTGTGTAAGACATACTGTTCCTATAGCAGGAGCTCCCTGTAGATAAGAGTCAAATCCTTCTACCTGTCCAATTAAGGTGTATTGATTCTGATTCTGACAGGTAATCTGTTTAATCCTAGTTAATTAGTTCTCAATAATCACAACCCCTACTTAACATCATATATCATTTTATGATGAAGTTTGAGATGTTAGTACCTTCATAGGCAGAAGATCTCATATTAATTCAGTCTTGTGAAGGACTATAAAGTATATTGTTTGTCTGTGGATTTAATTACAGAAAGTTATCTTAATTACTGTTAAGATTTGATTAAATACAATATACGTTGTAGTCAAGTTGTAGGTTTAACTTACAAAATATTTAATTCAAGAAATCTATTTTCAATCTGATGCAGTTCCCCAAGGCTCAGAGCAATTGTTATCTGAAAATGTTAATGAGAACTAAATTAAATTCATCCCTTCTAACATGTCTAATGAAATCAGCAACATTAAAAACACAGCAGATTTTATGTGTAGGAACATCCATTTCTGTGAGCATGGTGACAAATTTTCCTGAGTTTAGTTTTCTTCACTCGCTCCAAGACGATTGGATTTCTGTGAGCTTTCACTGGTACACTGCCCCAGTTCTTTTTCCAGCGATGATTCACCAGTTTACTGTTAATAGCTATTGTTTTCTTGGAGGAAACATATTTTTAAAATTGAATCACAATTAAGAGGCAAAAATCGATAAGAACTGCAGAGTCTTAAACTGTGTTGTCTTCTTAAGTCTTTGAACTTTGGATTTTCTCCTTGGGTGTTGGATTTTTTTTTTTAGAAGTTCAGGAAGTTGCCATGTAAATAAAATGGACTAAATTCATAGGGATACTGTAGAATCTCTTAATTTCTTAGAGACAATTATTCAATGAAAAATTATTGGTCTAAGGGTCCCGGGACTTGATTTTTTGGTTAAATTAGGGCTGAGTTGTGCAATATTTGAATTTTTTTATTTCGTTGAGAACAGGAATTTGTGGGTCCGATCTCTTTATCATGGAAGTTTCCTATTTGTGAGTTGATTCAAGGTTCAAACTGAAAGCCCACTGGGCTTGGGTTGAAGTTGAGTGATTTTTCAGTACTAAGAAAAAAAGTGGCAGACCCTACAATTGGTTGCATGATTAAATTCAAATTAAATTGATTTAAGGTGACCTTTAGCATTTTTAGGGCATAAAGGTCTTATCATCATTCAGGATACTGTATAATTACATCCTTCCAAATTGTTTGTGAGTAACATATTAGGAATTATTACAGATATGTTAAGACATCAGTGTCCAGATATAGTCTGAATCTGAATCAGCAAGCCTCCCGTAGGAAGGGGAGCTATATTAATCGTTATGTAATGACTTGTTTTGGCAGGTGACTGTCTCAGATGTATAAACCTACTGTACAGTAGATATATTAAGCACATAGTAGCTCCCATAACTCAAGGTCAAGGTCAGAATACTCAACAGAGTGACGTATTTGTCATCACTTTAGTGACACACATTAATCAGCAGGCTGCTAGATCAAATGTAGTAGATTTAACTGCATTGACGCAAAATAAACAAAGGGGTTAGGACACGGGAACAGCTTGTAAGGAAGCCACTGTAACAGTATGTATCCTGTATGATTGTACTGGTGTTATAATCCCAGTGTCAGGACTGGACCTGTCAGCCTCATGTTATAATCCAGACCTCAGGGTACAGGGGTCAACTGTACATTAACTAAGAGTCAGCTGATATTTATTGACTGAGTAACAATTCATGGATTGACACAGTACCTTAACCTTTAATAGCAACCCTTGTAACCTAGGACAGGTGAAATATCTATTGATGTATATTTCTCATTCCTCTCTTTGTTTTTATACCTGTAGTACTTTATTATCAACAAGAAATTGTATTGAATACCAGATGAGAGAGGATAGATACACTGCTACAGGTGTGAACAGGTGTTTACCTGTATTACCTGACAAAGAATGTGATTCAGAACTGTGTAGCGGTACACTACCACATGATTTTGAATCATTATTAGTTATGAAGTTTTTCATCAATGGAATGTGGGAGGGACACGCTCTAGTGATGAATTCCCTTTTACCATGTTCACGGAATGCGACATTTATAATTAATACATTCTGAAGTCAGATATTGTAGCACATGTATTATTAATGTAAGTGTGGCATGCTTATTGTTATTAAAGGATATATAGCCAATTTTAAAATCAAACAGTTGGACTGGATTTATCAGGGTATCAATATTTGCTTAACTCTTGTATTGTTGTACTTAAAGTCTTAATGTACACTGTACATTGAAAAATGATTTTTTTTTATATTAATAAGTTTGTTTAAGTGATATCTAAGCATTCTGTTTAAGAAAATCCCCTGCTGGTGATTGGCAAGATCTACATTTAAATAAGTGTTTCTCCAAGAAATATAGTATACATTATCATTGTTGCATTATATTGAGGGAATTAGTTTTTTTATGGTCAGTTGGCAGTTATGAAAATGTTGTATATTTCAGTCTAGTGTGGTAATTGAAAAGATCTTTGCAGAAAGATAAAAACTCAACTGCATGACTCTTGGACAGTTTAAAATAAATGTCAAAATCGAGGAAAATTAAAATTAAATTTTGTTAACAAAAATTCAAATTTCGTTAAAGTCTTTTTAACCCCTAACTTTTTAATTTTTTTTCAGGTTCACATCAGTGACCTTGTGACCCAGACCTGCCACATTGACCTTGAGGAGTACTCGGATGTGATCGTGTACGATCAGTGTACTGAGTCCCCGGAACTCCTGACTGCCGACAACTTCCTGTCCATTCTGCTGCGGAAACTTGTCATGTGTTCGACCTTTAACAGTGTATCCCTCCTCAAAGGTAAGAGGACTCGGGTGTGGATCCTAAAACTCTACTTATAAAGGCAAGAACTCAGAGGTGTGGATCCCAAAACTCTACAATAGTCCTATGTAATTACTCTTTTAAGTGATAATAAATCAGGGTATAGATATATACTGAGAAGTGACTTTTAAAAAAAAATTAATTTTTTACATAATTCTTGTAAATTAGTGTGTGATTGATAAAGGGTTATATTTTTACCATTTATTATTGCAATAGGTAAAAACATGTATTTTGGGGCGATGATCTGAACTTGAACTCTCTTTCAAAGGAATCCTAAAAGAATTTACAAGAAATAAGAAAAAAAAAATTGGTTATTAAATTTATTTTCAAAAGTTTCTATTTATTGCTTTAAAAAATTTTAGGAAAATGCAGTTATTAAAATTATTTTTAAAAAGTTTTAATATTACTTTTGTGTGCTAGAAGAAAATGATTTTTTCTACTGACAGCAAGTATTCCCTGACATTAAATTCAGTAGAGATGAGTCATTGATTGTTTTGGAGCTGTTTAATTAAACACAGTCACGCCGTAGTCAGGGTTAACTTTATACGCTGTTTTACTGGGGTTAAAATGACCTTGTCTGCCGTCCTGAATTCTGTCATATGTCTTCATCCCTAATTCTTATTAATTAAATTTTGTATGACATAATTTTTAATCACACTGGTAATTCGTGAAGGAAAACTGTGGGGAAAAGGCCACTGAATTTGTAATTCAATTAAATTAAGGTCCTTACTGGGTGAAAAGCTGATATAATTAATGTCCATAGCTTACTTTTGTGGTGACACAATCTACAAAGATAGACAAATGATTAAAATTCTTCATGCTGTATTCGCAGACTAAATAAGGAGTCGGTAGAGCCATTTTATACCAGCCTCTGACTAAGAACTAATCTTAGAAATGACTGAGGCACCCTGTCACATTATACACAGTGGCCAGTGTTAATCACAGTACGGCCTCTAATGGATTAAAAACAGCACTATCCCGACCAGGCATTGTACAGTCATCACAAATATTTGTCTTATTAGTCCCCTAGAAAGAATGCTCTTGTTTAAATGCTGTGTAATGTTCAATGTATTGCTTAATCTGGTCCGGCCCTGAACTTCCCGGACTGTAACAGTACTACACCTGGATTACAGATTTCAGGTGAGAACAGGTAGATTAAGGTCAGACCACAGGTATGTGTGCCAACCACAGCTGATTGATTCTCCGTAAACCCCTGAGTTCAGCAGGCGGAAACAGATGAATCCACAGGCCGTGACATAACATTGTAAAATAATCCTTATCTTATTGTCACATGCTTCTCAGAAGATCCTGAGTAAGAAATTTCGGGTTTTTCCCTGGCTATAAATAGATAAATGGACTGTGGGAAGTTCCCGTTTGTCCTATATATTACCTTTACTCTGGTTTAAATGCCCAATACCCTTCAAGTTGGGAATTTTATATGGTATAAATATAAAACGTGAATTCCACCACTGTTTAAAAATTAGAACTTACAAGTACTTGTCATTTGAAAGATGAAGTATGCCCTATCGTGCTGGAAGATATGGGTATGAAATATCTTTTAAAGAAACTAGGTCATCTGCAGAGGGTAGAATCCTTAATTCTCTGTGTGGGTTATGTAATATCTAGGAGTATTTCTTAATCTCTTGTCTGATTCATAAGCATTGTAAGAAAGAACTTTCAGGGGGTAAAATGCATCAAGGTGTATATAGCCATCAAGTTCAAATTTTAACCTTGGGTTTTTCTTTGTAGTATTCCAATGCAAGGACATTAGGTTATTGTATTATTGTATTGGGCTGATACATTTGACAGCTAGTGTTGAAGTTTATTGTATTTCTTTAGATTTTTTAAAGCCCTTTGTCACTGTGTGTGTGTGTTTGTGAGTCATAGCCCATTAACTAGTCCCCAGTTACCTGGTATCCATCACAATAAGAGGATGGTGAGATATGATTGGATTTCATGCTGTGGGAACATTAGAGAGAGGAATATCTGGGAACATAGTTTTTATACAAACACACCAGGTGACATGCCTGTGAAGCATTTAACTGGACAGCCCCCATAAGGTTTTGAATTTCCTTTCATCATTAGCGTCTTACTTCCATGACAAAAAGTCATTTCCTGGAAAAAAGGATTATTCCGTAATGTGGGTGCAAATTTTGAATGTGTTCTTCATTAGTATCTCAGTTTCTATTGATGGGGAGGGGGGGGGGGGTTAACAAATTTCTCCTTTTGAGAACGCCCAGTTCAAAATTGAGCTGGCAATTTGTTAAACTTGTGAATTGAATCTATGATAAAAGAGACAAGTCCAGGATGCTTCCTTAAGACTCAAACAGCTTGACATAATCCTTCAGGATATTGTCCTAGAGATGTCCAGTAACTTATTGTTCTACTTAAAAGCTCAGTAAATGACCATGTGTATATTTACAGTCATGAACTCATGATCCCCAGGAAACAGTCAGCCACAAATGGTATTAATTTAACGTTGATTAAGAAGGTGAGCTGTAAGCTTTGTTTGATTGAATCAATAGGTTAATGATTGGGGACAATTAAATCTGAAGCTGCTGTCAGTAGCATGGAGGGTTTACCACTCTAGAGGGGGGAGGTCAGGGACTGATTTCCCAGTAGTCTGTTAGCTGATGGTCAGTTTATGGCGGTTTTAGTTCTTGGAAGAGATTTGGTCCTGAAATCATTAGGCTCCCAGCTGGGCTGTATTAGTCACTGAAGCAGAAGATAAGAGTATGATATGGATTATTTATGAAATCCATAAGTACTTTTACCTATATGTGGTGTGATGCATTTATCACTTTGTTGAAGAGAGTCAATTTAAACCTGAGGGGAAAGGACTGGGAATAAAACTATCTCCATCGACTTTGTTAGATGTAAAAGCTGAATGAATTTTTCATCTATTTTATCCATTGATTTTTTCCCCTCAATTCATCAGTGTAGTATCATAATAATGACTATGTATCCAGGGAAAAAATTCAATTATAAGTAGCATGTAGTATCTTTATGTTTAATCAGAAGAGTTAAACAGAAAATTATCTTCTTAAAAAGTAAACATTTTGGGTCATTATTGAGTTACAACAAAAATACGTAGATTGATCGAGATAGAAATTCTTGTGACCTTGAGTTTTCAGGAGTAACCTTGCTGCAGAGCTGGAGATTTTTTAATGAGGCTGAAGTGGTTGTGAGTCCCTGTAAGATTTGGCATTATTAGATACACATCTTATCACAATGAACCACATGCACTGAAGTCTTGGTTTCTTTTCCTTCCTAACTGCATCTGACCTAAATGCTGCAGGCTACAGTTTTTTATTCACTGCAGCACATTAGTTGAAAAACAAACAAAAGCTCTTGATTCAAAAAAAAAGTTGGGGGGGGGAGGCTGGGTTTAGTCATTTTGGCAGAGCAGTTAGTGCAGGAGTTGTATTGGAGGGACTACTCATTACTACCCATCATTGATGGTGTGTCAAGATAGAACGGAATCTTTAACAAGTGTTTGTATGCTAGTACAAGTGCACTACTAGAGAATTCAGAAACAAGTACACGTATGATCATCATTTTGGATTTTAGATAAAGGTTGATGGATTGTACAGTTTAGAGGGGATGTTTGAGGTTTAGATCTCCTAGTGGTTCCTTGTATACCAGTGTATTGTCTCTGTGTCTTGTTTCCAAACTCTTTCTTTAGAGACTGAAGTATTGGGGGGGGGGGGGGTACCTGCAAACTCTACCTCCCTGCTGAGCAGAAATCTGCTCTAACCCTGATAAGAAAATATTTATCAATAGCTCACCATTCATTCAGGATTGCACCACGTGCCAGTTACGTAATGCCTGTCTAAATCAGGCAGACAAAATATGCAAGAGTCCCTGAAGGTCATTTAAGGCCGTTGATCCCCTGGGGCGGTGATGGTCCCTATAGTGAAGGAGAGGTGGATCACAGGGGGTGTGTTAACAGATTATTATACATGTAACATATAATCATACAAAGAAAATTTTTAATTCTTTGAATATGCTGAAAAAAGAGCTTGTATGCTATTCTTATTAATTTTGTAGAAAACAATGTGTGAATTAAAGCGCTTAGAAGTGACCTCTAATTCACATGGAAATTTAATTAGAACGGACATTTACAATCATTTCCTGCTATGTATTCATCATGAAATTTTGTAATCTAATTAATAGGATGTTATTGATTACAAAGGGATACAAAAGTACAGGAATTAATTAAAGTATGACACACATATTAAAATGAGATGATGGTTAATTGCTTTTGGCTACAGAGAGATTTATGTTTTAAATCACTGAAAGTTTTTAAGTAAGTAGTGTCTGTACAATACAAACACAGCGTGAGAGGCTGTGTTACATAATTAACGTAGATCTCTGCTCCCCTTGTCGGGGCCTCACAGTAGTGAATGAGTCATTCCATAACACAAGCATATTGATCCAACACAAACAAAAAAATGGGATTTCTACAGTACCCTGGGAAAATTCAGGGTCGGTGTGAGGGGTAGTCCAGCAGTGTGGGGGACAGTGGACGGATTTGTGGGAATCTTAGCAGCTACCCTAATCTGAATTACCAGTGTAAGGACCTCACCGTAGTTGCAGGAATTATTATGCCAAGTCACTCCGAGAGATTAAGGCGCATTACATACATGTATTAGTAATTTATTAAGAAGTGACGTCAGTATTAGCAGAAAAAAAATCAGCTGTGAAGTTGAACACGGGGATTGCTGTATTTTGGTTCCTTTGTTGTGTATTAAGGATGTGAAGTGAGTGCTCAGGGGTTTCTGGTACTGACGTGGGTTGATACACCTCTCTATACATCCAGTGACTGCCTCCCCCCGGACCCAGGGGTCACCCTGTCACTAATGAATTACTCTGTGTTACAAATTAAAGGAATCGGGCTGTGGATTTCTTATCTTACTGTCTGATTGTGAATAAAAAAAAATAGAAATGTCACTCCAATAAATGATCTGCTTTGAATGTAATATTTAAAATGGATGTTTTATCACCAATGAAAGGTAGCTTAAAATGAGATTGAGGTTTTTATATTAGTATTTTTCCTTTCACTATTATTAATATGTAGAGAAATAATTTACATAATTTACTTAGTAATTTACTTTTTTAAATTTTTGTTTGAATATAAATATTTTGTAATTTTACTAGAATAATTATTGTACCCTATTTATCAAATAGATCGACAAATACACTCAAAACGCTTAAACAGTTCACCAGATATGATATACGATTTTGTTTCATTTAATTGTTTTCTTAAATAATTTTTACAGCATACTTAACATTTACTATCTATATTACAGGTGGTTACCTGGCGTTCCAGGCCATGCACCCATCTCTGTGTGAGAACAAGTCCAGCAACAACTACAAATGTACCCCCCTCACCTCTCTCTCCCAGCCCTGCATGCCCGTTGCCAACATCGGCCCCACTCGGATCCTCCCATTCCTTTATCTCGGATCACACAGAGACGCCATGTCTCAGGAAACTATACAGGTCAGTGCTCTATCTCAGACACCATTGTCTCAGGAAATTATACAGGTCAGTTCTCTATCTCAGACGCCATTGTCTCAGGAAACTATACAGGTCAGTTCTCTATCTCAGATGCCATTGTCTCAGTAAACTATACAGGTCAGTTCTCTATCTTATATCACACAGAGACACCATATTGTCTCGGTAAACTATACAGGTCAGTGTTCTATCTCAGACGCCATTGTCTCAGGAAATTATACAGGTCAGTTCTCTATCTCAGACGCCATGTCTCAGGAAATTATAGAGGTCAGTGTTCTATCTCAGACGCCATGTCTCAGGAAATTATACATACATGTCAGCTCTCTATCTCAGACGCCATTGTCTCAGGAAAATATACAGGTCAGTTCTCTATCTCAGATGCCATGTCTCAGGAAATTATACAGGTCAGTGTTCTATCTCAGACCCCATTGTCTCGGTAAACTATACAGGTCAGTTCTCTATCTCAGACACCATATTGTCTCGGTAAACTATACAGGTCAGTTTTCCATCTCATAGCCATGTCTCAGGAAACTATAATAAAGGTCAATTTTCTATCTCAGATGTGATGTCTTCAGGGAATATTTAGGCCTCTTTTGAATGGAAACCTCATTATTGGTTATATGCATCTTTGTACAACTTATTTAAACACCTGACCATTTTTTAATGCAGAAGCAGCCTTCTCAGTCATTTTGGGAAGAATATGACAAATTTGATCATGTTGATGTCTTTAAAAAAATTGAAATTAAAAAAAATAATTTTGGGGAACATTTTAACTGAGCTCAGTAGGATTACTTTAAGGTTTACAATGTCAATTGGCTTCATTTTTGATTGAGCCAAGTTATTTCCTTTAGATGAAGAACCAGATTTCCTTAAACTATAACTTTACAGTTTTCGCCCTGTACATGTAGCCATTAAAGTAATGACAGTCAGTTCTCTCCCTTATCTAAAGTACTGAAGTTTTGTATGAATAGTGATGAAGTAGGAAGTTATAAACTCTACTGAGTATATACATGATATAGTTGGCAAATCAAGATATGACAATGCCTGTACCAAAGCCATTTTGAGCATCTTTTTCTGCCAGCTCGCAGAATTGATCTACTTGACTGTAATTACACTAATTCTTTATCAGACCTGATTAGTTTCATTTTTATAAACATTTTAAAGAGACTAAATTTTCAAAGATAATTTTTCTTCTTAAGGACTTGCGGCTAAAAATTCTCGTCCAAAGGACTTACTGTAAAAACATTTTATGTAAAAGAGTTGATTAATTTTCAATAACAGAGTCTACATAGAAACTTTAGAAAAGGAAAAATTCCCATTTTTTGCAATTATTAAATTCACGATGTTTTTCTTAGTGAGATTAATTGTTATGGATTCAGAAATACCGAGAAGAGAATTAATAATAAATAAGTTCTCCGAAAAAGATATGTAGTTTGATACTGGTAAATGATTCATTCAAATTTTATAAAAATTATTATTCAGTATATGTAATGAGCCTATATGTGGGTGTATGAAAATGTTCACAACCATTGTCCGTATAAATACTACTGGAAATCACAGAGATTATAGATCATGAAGGATATAGATTAGGGGACTGGTGTATCTAACTGTCTCAAATCACATGGTACTGTTGTCAATCTTAGATCACATGGTACTGTTGACAAGGTATCGGGTAGATACAAGGATTTATATGTAACAGTAGCTCTAGGTATGGGTAGATACAAGGATTTATATGTAACAGTAGAACTCTGTATCTAAACCAATCAATACACTGACTCTCACATAGAGAAAGTGATCAATGTTACAAATAAAACAGCTAGACTGTCATAGAAAGACCTGACTAATGGTAACAGTGTCAGTTGATGCAGGAGATCGGCATCGTCCAATGAAAAAAGAGCCGCTGATCTCTCTGCTAATTAGCCTTTGATTTATTAATAAATAAAAAGATCAGTTTATGAGGAGGCAGCATATTTTTTTATAGATTTTTTTTCACTATATATACACATGCTATACAATTTAAGTGAAGCAGTTAGCTCTTAACATTTAAATAAAATTTTATTTTGTGGGAAAATTAAGAAAAACTAGATATTTTAAGTTTGAAAAAAAGAAACATTATATTAAAGGCAGTTTTTTTTTCACAATACAATTTTCCATATTTTAAACATTTTGTCATTGATGACAAGAAAAAATAAGCTATTCAAACATTCCATGCATTAATCTATTGTTACAAACAGGACAAATGTAAATTTTTGTTAGTGAAATGATAAAAAAAAAAAATAATTTTTATTTTAGGAAAAAAAGAATATACAAATATAATGTAAAGGACTGTTTGTCAATAATTGATAGCGGTGCAGTTGAGGTTAGCTGGTGTTTGTTTATAGCCTGATGTACTAGTTGGCGACCCTGTTCTTTAGGAAATAAATAACGTAATCGAGCCATCATCATATAATGCTTCTGTGTGACAGAATGTAAACAGTTATTACTCATCCGTCAATCCCGTGTTTTTTAAATATCTTGTTCTCTGTTACAGTTTTATGTGAATATTTGATGACGTAGAATTTTATAAGGAAGTTTATTGAAACACATGATGAAAACTGTTTATTGTTTAGCTGTACATGGAATTAGTCATTGTTTGATTTCCACCTGTTATTTGGCCAAGAGATCTCATTGTAATAACAGTTATACATGTATATAGAAGTAAATGCTTCTGGCACATCTGATAAAATTGGTTTAATTTATGCAATGCTTTGTTCTTAACTTTAAATCTGAAAATGATTTAATTGTCTTGGGATTTGGTTAATAATACTTGTTATTATTAAACTTTAGACAGTATAGAATTCAGATTTTAAAAATATGTATAAATTGAGGTAAATAGCATGTAGAGACAGTAAGAACTTAAAAAAAATTAATTAAATGTGTATGAAAATGATTGGCCTATTAAATTTTCTTTACTTTTTTCATTCTATCACTCCGATAGACTTTTTATTTATTTCTTAAAAGAACTTTATATGATAAGTTCCTAAATGACCCCTAAAGTGATTACCTTAATTTTACTTTATATGTTGAGTTTTTTACTTTGTACAGCAACTTTATTTGTGATTTTCAGTCTGATCAATATGCCATTTATTTACAAATATGACTACACTGTGTATTTGTTTCCAGTGACCGTAGGTAAAATGTCAAGAACAAGACACATTCGTCTCTCTTTTTCATTGGATTGCAGAAGAAAGGACATCTTTTGTGCCATTCTTGGCCATTGAGTGTATTTAAATGAGACAAATGAATCTTCAATGTAAAATATTTTACAAAATTAGAAAAAAATTAACACACCAGAATATTATTTGAAAAGGTTGATTTATGAGAGCCAAAATTGACTCTAGGCCTAATTTATCTTAATATTTAGTCCTTTAGAAAAATTAAACTATAGAAATATTTAAGTTCCTCTGTTTGTAGACATTTTGCTTTTTAAATTTTTATGTATTTCAGATAAATAAGCCTTTAAATGTTTTTTTCCAAAAAATTTTTACTTGATTATTTTTTCAGATACATGTGTAAATGTAAAAAAATGTGTTGAACATATCATGCAACCCCTGCATGGTTGGAAGTTCTGTTCTAAATTAAGATCTTACAGGTAGTGTTGTACTTCACTTATAAGTCACTTATAGTCACTTATAAGTGACTAATACTTGATATAGTATGAAAGGTTAATGCTTGACATTTAAGTCATTATAGTCAATAAGTGACTATACTACATAAGTGCTATAAGCACTTAAAGTTAGCTCATTTGCATATAAAATCCTACCTTATAAGTCATTCCAGTTAAATATAGGTAAATTCACAACTTAAAGTAAAAGAATAAATCACTTATAAGATCCATTAAGTAGGTCATGATATAAATCACAATTTTTCATTGGATTGCAGAATTATTTCAATATTTGTTGCTTGATGTGTTTTACAGATAAACGAAATATCCTATGTTTTACAGATAAATGACATATCCAATGTTTTACAGATAAACGACATATCCTATGTTTTACAGATAAATGACATATCCAATGTTTTACAGATAATTGACATATCCTATGTTTTATATACATATCACCTAAATGTCAGCATCACCTGTCATGATATTTCCAGCATTCCAGTCAACGACAACTACAGTGCTAAGCTGTTACCATTCTTCCACCAAGCATTCCAGTTTATAGGTAAAGTCACAAAAGAAGGTCATGATAGGTCAATAAGTAGGTCATGATATAAATCACAAAGTAGGTCATGATAGGTGCATAAGTAGGTCATGAAAATTCATAAGTTATGCACAAACAATAAGATACGCACACAATAAAGTCCAAAATATGACATGAATTAATGCATATGTAGGTCATAGCAATTTCATAAGAAGGTCATAACAGGACTGGATTTAATTCATAGGTATCTCACAATTACCAAGATTAGACCTTATTCATGGCAATTCCATAAGTAGGTCACATTAGCAGATTCATTGCAGGAAAATCACACAGTTTCTCTAAGTAAGTCTTGATTAAGCTTAGATGTGGGTAACAACAATATATCATGAAGGGGTCACTTTCAGTAGTGGATTAAGTCCATAAAAATAAAAAGTCACAGAGAGCATATCTACTCACTAAGCCACATCTTTATCTTAAGGATTTAATGTAACTGTACAATGACAAAGTTAACACAACTATTGTGAAATAACAACATAATCAAAACCAGTAGAGCTACTGTCCTGCCTCAGAGTTTTATCAATGAATGTAGCTTTAAAACTCTCCATTCACAGTTATAAATCTAGAACATCCATGAATAGAGCTAATTTACTAGTGTGATATGTCTCTGCGAATTGACAGCCATCTTTTTTCCCCTCAAAAAATAGAATTTCTATCCATTTCCCCCTGCAGTATATTGAATTATGAGGTGTGATAATTAGATTTTGATGTCCCGGACTGATTTAATTTCTGATGAGGATTAACTCTCTCCTGTCTTTCTACAAAAGCTTTATTGTTCTTTTGTTTGGTTCCCGTCTCTCAATTAGGACTTTAAAAATGGGAGTCCTACTGTTTCTGACAAGCACATCACAGCAGATGTCAGAGAGATATAATACAATATAAATTTCTTCTAGAGCTCTCAGAGTCCATAAGTGAGCATTTTTATTTGCTTCAAATATTAATGATAAGCTTACATTACTTGTATGGCCAAACAGTCCCTGAGTTGAGTTTCTGAAAGCAGCGGAAATCAATATTATTTATACAGCCAGAGTCTGCACAAGGTACTAATATCCCAGCCTTCCAGGAAACTGGGTTCCATTGCATAATCTTAAAATCTAGGTCAAAGGGGTACCTGAAGGGAGTAAAGGAAAATCCAGTACATTGTAGTATACAAGAGAAACTGATTAGTCAGGGATTATACCATGAATAAAAAAGCTTGTAGAGGAAGGATATCAAAAGAACCCTACAGATCCAGAATTTAATGGAAGATTGTGACCTGGATAACTTTTTCACTTGTCATAATTTTCCCTTCAGTCATCTTGATCATGTATTACAACCCTAAACACAGAAAACAAGCTTTATAGACACACAGATGATTTAATGATGACAGATCTCCCATTACAATGTCACACACGCTATTTTGTAGCAGTAATTATGTGAATCATATAATGATTAATGGTTTGTTTTGATGGTAGAATTCTGGAAGTTTTTTTGTTATTATTGTAATTTGAAGAAATGATATTGATCAAAGCAGAATGTAATCAGTTGTTTAGACTTGTCATGTTGCCAGTATCTTAACTGTAAACTGGTAGATGGTCATGTAAACTGGTACACTGTCAAGTTTCCAATAAACTGGTACACTGTCATGATACCTGTAAACTGGTACACTGTCATGTTACCAGTGAACTGGTTCATTGTTATGTTCCAAAGGATATGTAACCAGATTGAAGGCTCCAGCAAACTGGTACACGGTTATGTTCCTAATTAGTTTTCTCAGGGTTAAATGAGTAATTTTCATTAATATATATAATGTCTGTCTGTTTGTCTGATAATGGTGAGGAAGAGAAATTTAAATCAGTATGATTATTAACATTTGTATTTACTGTGACGTTTTTCTCTGTAGATATGGTGAGAGAGGCCAATGGTTGCGTGATGATACACTGTCTGGCCGGCATCTCCAGGTCCCCCACTCTGGCTATAGCGTACGTCATGAAGTATCTACACATGTCATCAGATGACGCCTACAGGTAGGTATTATTATGTCATAGTGTACGTCATGAAGTATCTACACATGTCATCAGATGACGCCTACAGGTAGGTATTATTATGTCATAGCGTACGTCATGAAGTATCTACACATGTCATCAGATGACGCCTACAGGTAGGGATTACTATGTCAGATTTTATAGTCCAACAAAAAAAAAATGTACCATGATATCATATCAAGACTTTTTATATTTATATGTTGTAGATTATTTTGAAATATGTGTTGCATATTTACAGCAAACATGCTCATAATAATTTCTTGCTGAAAGCCAAGTGATTTCCAATAGTTTAAAACAGCATGTTTCCCTGTAATCTGGATGTCATTCGTTACTATACACCACCCTATTTGTCTCCTTTTACAGGTATGTGAAGGACAAGCGCCCCACCATCTCACCAAACTTTAACTTCCTGGGTCAGTTACTGGAGTACGAGAAGTTTATAAAGCAGGAAGAGGAGGCGGTGAAACAGAGGCGAGACTCAGGGGGATCGCTCAGCGACGGAAAATCCACACCTATCATCATGGACCTTCAGACGTGTAGTCCTTCTTCTCCCATCGCCAAAGTGACAAAACCGTTCTCATTCGATACTCAGTGGACCCCTCGCTCCCTCGAATGTGATCTGAAGCGCGACACAAACGACAACCTGCCGTTACTGGCCGATTCCGACACCTGGGACAATTATCAATGTGAAGCATCGAACATGGAGACAGACTCCCCCGACAGGAAAAAATTCAGTGACTCTGAAATGTTGTGTTGTAATTTTCTCCCTCCCTCAGATCCTGCCCCTGTGACTCCTAGTGCTGAGTTACCCCCCTTTCCCTTCGGTGATTCAACAATCGGCAATGGTCACCAGTCTAATTCACAACAAGACTTAAAAATTCAAAAAGACTGCAAGAGGAAATCACCCTCCCCTGCCCCTAAGTCTCCTGTGAGCCGATCTTTCACCTTATCATTAAGTCCTGTGTCTCTTCCCTCAGACGGAGTTAATTCCTCCAGGGACAGAAAACGATCTTTGGGATCCCCCATGACAAAACCACCCAGTCTGGTGTCTCCTTTGTCGCGATCTCCCGGAAAATCCTTTGTCAGGCCGTTCAGTCTGCCCCTGTCTCCTGTTCTCTCCCCGGGGTCACCAGAAACCAGCGAATCTGCCAACTGCGATCCTCTCATCAAGGACTCATCCAGTCATCAACAGGAAGTGTCTGCTCAAGGGCATGATGGGAAGGTGGCAGCTGTGACGAAACCATTCTCATTACCATTATCTAGTGTGAATGTTCCTGATGCTGTAGACAGTGTTATTAACCAGCAGAAAAAATTCAAACAAGAGAGAAACTTCTCCTTACCACTGACATCTCAGTCACAGAAGGAGGGGTGTCAGTCGGAGCAGACTCCCAATAAATCTCGTCCATTTGTTCTACCCATATCACCTCTGGTCTCCTCAGAGAAGAATTTATCTGTCCCGGAAATCACCTCATCTTCGTCTTCAGGTGCACCGACTCCGGTAAAGAGTCCTTCAAGGTCGTTCACATTACCGCTGTCAACAGTCAGTCTACAAAAGAATCAGGGACACAAGCCAGCAATGGATTTACCCAGTCCATGTGTGGAATTACCTAGTCCATGTGTGGATTTACCTGGTCCATGTAACCCCGAATTGACGTTGTTACCTAGAGTGACAGAAAATACATCGTCATCAATGTCATTTGATTCACATACAAGAAAATCTCAACCCAGACTTGATCTCAGTTTGTCTAGCATCATCTCCGTGTCTCAGTCAAAGAGTTGTGAAACCTCAGGGGCGGCCCTCCCCTCCTCACTTACACGATCCACCCCTCCAGTTACCTTACCCCAAACCCTGAGTTTACCTTGTAGAGCCTCGGAGCTGCGTAACCAGACATCTCAGACAATATATTCACCCTCTGCTGCCCTGGCCGACCTACATTTCAGTCAGTCGATCCCAGAAAAAGCGACCCCACTGCAACAATTCCCATCTACCTCTCTCCACAAGCTTGACTTCACTCCTTGTTTTGCAACAGAAAACAAAACCAAGGAAACTGTGTGTTCAATGGATGTTACTTCAGATCCTAAAGAATCAGTGGATTTGACTTCTCCTGTCTCTAGTAGCTCGACCTGCAGTTCAACTGTAACCTCACCACTAGGTCACCAGGTCACTCTGAGAGCGAAAGAAAATAGGGCAAAGAGACCGCTTATACGACCAAACAGTATTGCATTCTCCAAATATCCGACCTTTGACCTTGGGTCAGACTGTCAGGAATCGCCGAGCTCAGCGAGTAGTACCTCACAGGACGATTCTGCGGATACCTATCTCGTACAAAACGGAAAACGCTCAAAGGCTTCCGAGTCGCACGTGGGACGCTACACAGAGCGGGACGTGTATCGACAAATCACGGCAGCGATGGAAAGTGCAATGTTCAGAACACAAGTGTACGAGGCGAGTCGTAAAGCGCGTAGTCTGGATGATATGCTAGCTTCAGGAGAAACCATGTCCGGGAAATCCCAGGCCTCTGTGTGTTCTCCGTTTGGGAAATTCCAGCTGCGATGTGGCTTGGGACCAGAAAGATTCAATTCTCCAGGAGCGTTTGAAAACTTGCCATGTCATGCATCAAAGGATGTGTACCAGTCCAGTAGTAGCATATCTTCTAATGGCAGTCATGGGTCATTGCACGGGAGCCTGGAGATCATACAGGTATCCTAGCCACCGTGTGATGCATGCCAATCCCTTCTGTACTGCTCTGGTTTGTGATTGTTTTCTGATCTTGGTGCTACTTTTGATGGATGTTTATATCATTTGAATTATTTTTTTGTTTATTTTTTTCCTGTACAACTTGTGTCTTTTCCTTTTCAATTTATTCTCACAGCATGTCGGTGTATTATCAATAGTAGAGATACAAATTAGGCAATTTTGATTTTTAATCTGTAAACATGGTAAAATTGCTGCATTAATTCTGTGAACAAAGTAGATCTATATGCTTTTTTTCTTTGGAAAGGAACATTAATTTACAATTTTCTATAAAGTTTGTGTTTGACAGTAGATTTTATCTTGATCTGTGTTTTTTTTTAAGTCATAATCTGTTCAATGTATTTTTTTTATAAAATGGGTCATGTCAAAAGTCATATATACATTATACTTATGTAAAACTGCACCAAATATTTTATTTTGGTCTAGAATCATGGACAACTCTAAAAGAATCAGTACATGATATGACATTTGACTGATCTGGCTTCTTTTTGCTCCAGTGCTGTGGTGCATCATTTTTTTGTTTTGTCTTTTTGTTTTGTTTTTTGCTGCATGAAATTGTGGTAAAATGGAATCATTTTTCATCAGTAGAAACTTTTGCTGGACCTTTAAATGTTCATCTCCTCTTCAGTAGATGGTAGTTTGTGACATGGGAATGTATCTTCCCGAGATTTAATTGTAGATTTTAAGAGTAAAATGTAAAAAGTAATTCCTATGGAATAAGACAACGTCTTTACAGAGAGCAATGCTATCACTATTTGTTTAAGGCTTCCTGCTTTTTATGAAGGATACTGATTTTTTTAAGATAGCCTGCCATCAGACAATGTTCCATAACTCTTGACACTGACTATAATTTCTTTCTTTCATACTCTGTCAGTTCTTAAAATGAATTTAGTTTGAACTTAATCTGAAAAATTTCTTTTTTAAATTTTTTCCCCCCAATTTAAATTGACACTGTCTAAGGTTCATGAAACATTGCTGATGACTGGGATGAGTTAGCGGAATATTTTACAAAGTGTAAATGTCATATTTTGTTCACTGGTCAATAAAATATGAATAAAACAAAGCTACATATTTTTTTCCTGTTTGCTATCAAAGGTCGGGGAGTGTCCTAAAAAGCGAAGGAAAACCTCCGAGAAATAATGGGTAAGGGGCAGATAACTGTTGTCCTCTAGATGTTGTGGGAAGTGTGTTCTGGCCTGGGGGCCATAAAACTTAGACTAGCTCAATTTTGATCTCTGCAGTCTCACTTTTCCACTTTTAATTCCTTTGGAAAAAGTGAGACTAAGATCAAAAGTGAGCTCGTCTAAGTTTTATGAATCCCAGGCCCAGTGTTGTAATGTTTCAGTGTTATAAAAGCCTCTCTTTCAAATTATATCAAAGAGATATAGAATGCAAAATGCTCAGTAGGCAAGGATACTTTATATATAAACTGGACTGAAACGCAAAGTCCTATTTATAACTTATTTACAGCCTAATTGTAAAATAGTCAACATTTATACCTTTAATTGCTATTGCTGATGTTGTGATGAATATGAGCTAGCTGATTTCCAATGAAATTCAGACCTGTTAATTATAATGCTTTCTGTATTTTGTACATATTTACATGTAAATAACGTTTTACAGATTACATAATTAATCAGATAATATGGTGTAAAGAAGTTTTCTGTTTGTCAATGAATCATATAAGCTTAATGCTAGCAAAATTATTTTGAGTTTTCATTCTTGCATTGGATTCAAAATTTAGGAAATGTTAGTCGTTTAAAAACTGGACTTCATTGTTTGAATGATTACATTATTTATAGACATTTTTATCAGAAACTTTTGTTGTACCTTCCATTTGATGCAACTGAAAAGTATTGGAGTGCACAAAGAAGACAATTTTTTTAAAGAAAGTCAAATAACAAATTTATCACTGAAATTGTTTGGAACCCTGATTATGAAATGTTTATTGAAAAAAAAAACTTGTTTAAAAATAAAATTGAATTTCAATTTCAAATTAGACTCCCATCTTTAAATGTAAGGACAACTTATGTTTACTTATACATGTATTTCCATTTCTATTTGTTTTCTCTGTGATAACTCTTCGAAAGTAAGTAGAGTTGATATCTTGATCATTGTACTGGAAGTAAATTTTGCATATGAATAGGTCTGTGTTTGAAGTCGGTAGGGGAGAACTTTTGAAATTGACATGGGGGGCCTCGTGTAATTTAAATCTATTGGTCTACGTTTTTAAAATTTAAATTTACAATTTTTTCACAACTAATGAAATGAAAATATAGTTAGTGTCTTCACCCATTATGCAAATTATCCAACTATCATTAATGCCCTTGCATACACTACTAAATAGACAGTGATTCCTTAAATAGTTCCTCATCAGACCTGAGAGGAATGACTCCATTTGGACTATGGTCAAATGATTTTGATATTGGACTAAAATCATCATCATAGCCCTACATTTGTCCGATATCAAAATTGCAGGTTGATTGTGCTTAATGTATCCAGTGTCTATATATATTGTAAAATTACTTAAATACTAGTATTGATAAGACTAGAAAAACATATTAAGGACATATACAATGTACCTTACCTATTAACTATTTATAATTTTTCAAGTACCATCAGATGTTCATAGACAAAAAAATTCAGCATTCATAACAAGGGGTTTTGAAAGATATCAATTGATGGAATCCTTAGATAATTCAAAGAAAAATATCAAGCACCTCTAAACATATTCTAGATGATTCTTTGATCCAAACTTGTTTTGGAAGAAGTGTACAACACCATCATCATATAAAGACATTAAAATATAGCACACGGTTCCTTCAAACATTAGGACCCCTCAACTACATGTTCATGGAAAAAAGACAAAAGTTCAAACAACTTTGCATAGGTCCTTAATATTTTGCTACAATGAAAGGTATATTATAAAGATTCCTTGAAACAACAGTTTACAATTACATGAGTATACAGTTTTATTATATAGACTTTTCATTTTAATGATGCATATCACTTCTCCATGGCACCTGATCCCGCGTCTGATGTTTCGGAGGTCCGTGTTTGCTCTGCTTCTATTTTGTATTCTTTTGTGGACTTCTGATCTTGAATTACTGATCGTTATTCATAGATAAAATTTTAGTATAAGTATATTACTAGTAGTATAGATCTCTAACTTGATATTGGATGGCTTACATTATGCTAGGAAGTTTTGGAATATTTTTGCTTCATATATCTTTCCCACGTCTATAATCCATCCATTTTCTTATTCTACATGACACTCCTTACCTGCTGATTAAATGAAACCTGTTTTGCTGGGTTTTTTTCCCCATATGAATAACATAGAGACAATACTTCTTGCAGGTTGGATACAAGTTTTTTTTTCATCTCTGGGTCTAAGAAGATAAACACTCAAAAAGATTTTAAAAAATCATATCCATCCATAAATCATGGGAGATTCTTTTTATCATGCATGTTTAATACATCACTATCAATGTTTATATATATGAATTGATCCAAATCATTTTACTTCATCATTTTCTTGCAAAAATCATTTTGATATCACAGCATTGGTAGAAAAAAAATCTAATTAGTGATATCAAGGGGATAAAGGGATAAACCTGATAAACAAAAAATACTGTTACAGTAGTATATTATTTATTTTTTATAGAAAATTAAAAATAACACAAGAATGCCAAAATTGGGGATAAAATTCTGTAATTATAGACTATACATTCAGACTCCTATACTTGTACATTCATGTACTATATTTAAATTTCAATGTATGATTTTTTAATCTACATACCAATATATTCTTAAGTTCTATACTGCAGGATGACAATGGACTTTGAATCCCACAATGCAACAATTGAAATCAACCAATGAACATGAAGAACAACCAAATAAACCTCAGGAACCTGGCATTAAGAGACACGCCCACTGGCATGTGGAGAGCTCCGTGCCTTATGAAATCCAGATTAAATTAAGTGAGTGATGTAGGGAGTACCACAAGGAGTGCCACTTCATCCTTCACTGTTCATAGAAGTAGACGCATATATGGATACCATCTGCATTTCATGGCAGTCAAAAAGGTTCCAGTTTTCAGGAGCATTTTTATTGCATGTGTATGACACAGTGTGCAGTATGTTGTAAAGTTTGTACACATGTGTATGTTCATTCAATCTGTGTTATTTGTTGTGAATGATTAGTTTTGATAACTTCAAATACAAACCATTTAATCAAGCACATGAAGGTTGACTTAGAACTGTTTTCAGTATTTAGGGTTTCAATTATTTTCAATGATTCAGACTTTTAATTCTGGGAATAAGTTGTTCCCAAATCGTTGTTCAGTATTTGATATGTGATGTTTGTTGTTAAACGTTAAGAATCTCAGGAAAATCAAGTTTTAATCAGGAGAGGAACGAGTTTTTTCTTTCATTTTATTTTCAAATCTCTCTAACCATATCAGATCAGACTTTTATTACATATTTCATGGCATATTTATTAATTCACCTAGATGCTATTTGCTATTTAAAGTACTTTTATTTATAAATCTTTTGTATCTTTTAATTAGAATTAATGCAATCAGGATCAGGCAGGTATTTTTTGTAGGAAGCCTACATTTTAAATACTAAATTGCACTGTAATTTGATTTTTGAACAGTTTATTAACTCTTGTTACAATGTAAGGAGTTATTCATTAATGCATTACATGTATGTGTATTTTTCCTGTATATAAAAATTATACAAAACTTCAAGTAATAACAATAATAACATCAAAATTAAACTCAGCTGGAGGAAGCTGCATCAGTTAACAATAAACCCCCATCAGGGTTATTTACTGCCTATTCGAATTTTAAAAAAAAATATGTGCAGCTTTAAAAATGAATTTACATTTGTCAAGTAGATTTATTATTATATAATTATTTTGCTTCAGAAAGTTTGATCTGAAAGCAAATGTTCAGATATACGTAGGTAAACTAAGTTTGTTTGTTTTTTTTTTTAAAATATTAAAACACTTATAGAAGAACCAGGGGGAACAGCACCTATTTATAACCTAGCTGTATACCAGTATTTATTGACTCAGTCTTACATCGTAATGTTGATTTTGGGTATATTGTGAGATACACTTCCTGACTTTGAGATACTGAGTTTAAGATATTTTTCTAGAGTGTCTTGAAAAGTGTGATACTGTTGTATTCAAAGAATCATTATGTATAGAAAACTGTGATTGTGTATATAAATCTATTTACTGATGCGTGTTTAGAGTAAGGTTTCCATATTTTAACAGAGCAATTCAAACCATGTATATACATGTAGATATATTTATTTATTCACTAATTTATGTAGACTTCACTTTTTTTTTGTCATCGAGTTCCCGGTTTTATCTTTCATGGTTGTGTTATCAGAATCTGGTCACAGTTTAAGGACATATGCAAGGTACCTTACCTACTGATAATTTTTCAAGGTATTTTAAAATTAAACTTATAATACCATTACTTGTTCTTAGACAAAAAAAATCAGCATGTGTTACCAGGGGTTTTGAAAAGATATCAAATTTTGAAAATTTTTGCATTATTCAAAGAAAAATGTACAAAAATTACAAAACATAAATTCCAGATTTTTTTTTTTTTACATCAAGCACTGTTTTAGAAGAGGTGTACAAATCAATATATAGAAATTAAAAATATTGCACACATGTCCTTCATTTAGTGGAAATCTTCAACTCCATTGAAGAACCCAATAAAGTCCAAACTACGATGCGCATGACCTTAAATGAACGTCAATAAATGACAGGACGAATTACTACAAAGGGGTGGGGATGGGGGTTGTGACTATCTTTAAATGTTTTACTTATACAAATTTATGAATTTAATTGAGGTAGTTCGATGTTAAGTTTGCCCTAGCATTGCCTTCACATGTACTAGTGTTGGGATACAAATACATATAGTATCTAAGCAGAAAAATAATTTTAGTCAAAGTAATCTTTCATTTTTTTTTCTTTCACTTTGAAGATCAGAAATGTCTTTACTGGCATTTCTTACAAAATTAAACATTTTACGGCGATATAATTCGATTTGATTTCCTTACTTTTTTGTATCACAAAACTTAAGAAATATATTATTTCTGATATTTTATGCTACATATACTAATAAAAGTATATTCATTAAATAAATAGATGTTAATGTATATGATGTATGAAACAACATTGTATGGGCATTTTTCCTCTACAAATGTGATAAACAATATTGTGCAATATTTATTTTACTAAAAAGAATTTACATCTTTTTAGGGTTAATAAGTACCTGATTAACTATGAATCTTGTGTAATGATTGATCTACATATTTACATCTAATTAGATTTTTTAATCTCCATTCTACATAGTGTTGAAAGTTAGACAGTTTTTACTTCTTTGTATAGTTTGTTAACGGCTGTGATTTGTTGTACTCCTAACATTATGATATTTAAGGTGGCACACTACCAGATTTTTCTGCCGATGATATTTAAGGTGGTATACTCCCGGTTTGTCCACTGATAATATTAAGGTGGTCAACACCTGGATAGTGACCGCCGATCAGAGACGAACACCATGACGTTTTGTATCTGTAGTAATAAGTTGTTCATCTTGTCTCAGTGAGTTAGTGAGAGATGTTTTTTTCTATAGTAAGATTTTCTATGGTAATTTGTAATGTACCTATATTAAAATGTTGTTTACTCCTCCACAGCTTGAGTTTGATTTTGTTTAATAAATATTGAGTTTGAAAATTAACTCAATTGCAAGTTGATGAAACCACATGAATTTTTAAGAAAATTATATTGCTTCATCGCAAATTAAGGCCAAAATAAATGATCATCCTATTGGTTCTGTGGTTGAATGAGAAAATATTTCAAATCTGTGCAAGTACAACATAAAACTGTAGATTGAAAATGATCCTTGACGCGACCTTCCAATACCCATTCACAGTTGATGTAAGATTAATCGAATACAATTGCTTCTTATAAAAGAAGGCAAGCTAATGGCAAATAAGTTGGAGAAACAAGAATATTAACAGTCTCGCTTTTAGTTAGCCTCATATTTGTAGCTGGATGGTATAAACAATTGGGATGGATTTATTTCTCTTTATATTCAACTGCTATCTTAAAATGTTACAAGTTTTATGTCTCTTTATCACTATCACCGTGTATGTTACTACCAAAATATTTGTGCTTTAAGTGCTATTTTCAACCCCATATAACATTTTAACATTTTGGTCTCTTCGTCTTTGAAGAGCATGTCTGGGTTAGGGTTTGAAGATAAATTCAGCAAAAGACATGATGAAACCCTTAAGTTTTCATACCATGAAACCAATCTTTTTCTTTGACTCTTGTGGAAAAAAATCCAATAGTTGTTTACACCTGAGTTACCTCTATTTTAAGAAAGAAAATGCAATACATAAACACTGACAGAAAGCAGTGTAATTTCTTCATTTACACATTCATAGTCATGGAATAATTCTGAAGTGACTGAATAATCTTTGAGTTCCCTGTCACTCTTGGTTTTTCTTTTGTTTTTTTCTGATAAGAGAGTTCTTACCCCGTTTTCTTTATCTTTGGTAAGCTAGTAAAATATGCTTAAAATGAAATCATGTTTCGGAAATTTTAATCACTGTAAACTTTTACAAGATCTTATTATAAAAAAAACAGTTCGTTACATAGTCGTTTATGTTTGTTACGTAATACATCGACCGAGTATAGATTTACAACTGACCGGGTATAAGTAATTCACCTCCTTCACGTGAGAAACTTCAACCAATCGTAAGCCAGAATTGCATAGAAAAATCAACCGAGGTGAAGTAATATTTGTTACATAGTCTTTTAGTGACAGGGTATGGTTACCTGGTTGGTAAATTTCATACCTGGCAAGGCGGTATCACCCCATACCCTGTCACTAAAAGACTATGTAACGAATTTACCCCACCGATGAAACATTTACGTTTTATCAGTTGTTTATAAATGAATTTCTCTGCCAAATGCTTACTGTGCCTATTATGCCATCACGTTGTGTTTGTGACGTTAAATATCGACCGGGAGTAGATGAAACATTTTTATGCCATTTTTGCTGCAAATTCTGATTTCCTTTCATCAATCTTTTGACTGATGATTTCATCCTGACTTCAGTAGCATTGTGACGTCATCAGGATTTCGGCTCATTCTAGCAATGTTAAGGATTTTATTATAATTATTCTTTTCATGTTTTGATTATGGCACTGCTGTAGGCAAATCCAATCTTCAAAAATAATTATATACATCAGTATAATAAAACTTTTATCCACTGGTGATTATTGGAATAACTGTTTCGCCAAACCCTTGACAGGAAGTGTATAATATATATATATATATATATGATATTAATTCAATAATGTGCATCAATTAAAGTTTTAAAACAGTTAATATATATATATATATATACATGATTTTCCTCTGCGTTATGTATGGAATGCAAACAATGCACTAAATTTTCAAGAGACTTTTGCACATCCTGTAGTACAAAAGGAAATGAGATAGTTCTTAGATGAAGAAATCCCTCTAGACAATTTTGGAATAAATAATGCCACTAACAAAGTACATATGATTTATGATAAAGTTTGTATAGCTTCACCACAGAAAAAAAGAAATTTAAAATGAAAACGCAAAACAAGAAATGGTTTGATCAAGACCTATTGAAAATGAAAAAACTTGTTCAAAATAAAGCATTAACACTGTCTCGCTTCCCTAAAGATCCAAAAGTGCGAGGTTCCTTTTTTAAATTAATATTAAACAAACAATATTCAAAACTAAGGAAAAAAAAGAGAAGAGAATTTAAACAAAACATTTTAAACCAGCTTGATGATTTAGAGTCTAATAATCCTAAGGAATACTGGTCCTTAGTGAACCAGCTGCGGAACGAAAAAAGAGATGATCCAAACTGCATCGAGGGTGATACTTGGTTCCAATATTTTTTAGATCTTACTTCTGTTTCAGACAAAATGAAAAAAAAATAGATGTTTTAGAGGAAAAGTTAAAAGTATTGGAAGATAATAATTACAGTTTCTCTATGATAGACAAAAAATTTACAAACACAGAATTACAAGAAGCATTTTCTAAGCTTAAGTTAAAAAAAAAACACCTGGATTAGACAATATCTCAAATGAAATGCTTAAAGCATCACAACACTTCATCAATCCTTGCTTGTTAAAACTGTTTAATGCTATATTGACATCTGGAGAGTATCCTTCAAAATGGTCAGAAAGTTTTATTTGTCCTCTATTCAAATCTGATGATCCAAATAAGCCAGAAAATTTCAGAGGCATAGCTATTAACAATAGTATTTGAAAATTATTTAACTTAATATTGAATAATAGACTTGACAATTTTTTGCTGGAAAATGATACTATTCATAAATCACAGAGAGGTTTCTCCAAGAAATCTCGCACTTCAGATCATATGTTTGTGTTGAAATGTTTGCTCAACAAATATCTCAAGACTGGTGATAAGAAATTATATGCCTGTTTTGTTGATTTTCGAAAGGCTTTTGATAAAGTTATTCATGTTGGCATTATGTATAAACTGCAATCAAAGGATATAAATGGGTATTTTTACAGAATTTTAAAATCTATGTATAAGAATGATAGATCAAGTGTGAAAGTAAATGATAAAATAACAGATTTTTTCACATCTGGGGTTGGGGTCAGACAAGGGGATGTCCTTAGTCCAAATTTGTTTAAACTCTTTATAAATGGCCTCCCAAGTATTTTGGATCATAATTCTGTTTCTGTTACTCTAGATAAAGAAATGATTTCATGTCTCCTGTATGCAGATGACCTTGTTCTATTATCCAATTCAAAATCAGATCTTCAATGTAAACTCAATCTCCTCCATGATTACTGTAATGAGTGGTGTCTAGAAGTAAACATAAAAAAACAAAGGTAATAATTTTTAATAACTCTGGTAAATTACTGAAGGAAGAATTCCAACTTGGTAATGACATTATAGAATGTGTAAAACAAAATAAATATTTAGGGATAACTCTTGAAAACAATGGAAAGTTTACTGAAGCCAAAAACAACTGTATCAGAAAAGTTTAAAGGCATGCTTTAAATTCTATAGGGATGTAAAAAATGCTAACCCCTCCTTAAAAACATTTTTACATATATTTGATCACTGTATTAAACCTATAGCTTTATATGTCTGTGAGAACTGGAGAATTATTAATGTTACTCCAAAAAGGAAAAATATTCCTCTTTTTGATATATTTAAAGATTGGGAAGTTGAAAAACTCAATATGAAATTCTGTAAATATATAATGGGTGTATCTAAATCTTGTACAAATGTAGGAATCTATTCTGAACTAGGGAGGTACCCATTATATATAGACATGTTAAAGCAAATATTCATGTACTGGTTTAGACTAGAAAATACATCATCTAACCTACTGAAAGCAGCTCTCAATGAGTGCAAATCAAACATCATTAACAGTGATTAGTACTCCAGTATATTATTCTACAGTGAAAAGCTTAATATTAATTTGTCCCTTTGCGAAAAACTAAGTGAAAACAAGTTTAAATTGTACATGAAAAGACAACTACATAATAGTTTTTTAAACAGTTGGAATGATATTCGTACAAATTATTTGGAAGGCTTTGGTAAATTAAATTCATATTTTAAGTATAAAAGGTCTTTTTATTTTGAAAAATACTTGAATATGAAAAACCGAGTCAATCGGGTAATTCTCGCAAAATTCAGAATTAGTTATCATTGTTTAAGGGTAGAAACGGGTAGATATGAAGGAAAACTTAATAAATGTGGTAAAAATGAAATTCTTCCCAGGTGTGAGAGAATCTGTCGTTACTGCACCTCAAGTCCAACTGAGGATGAATTGCATTTTTTGCTAGAATGTCCACTTTATAATGACTCAAGAAGAGAGTTTTTAAATAAAATCTTTGAAACCTTTCCTAATTTGATACTGCTTAATAATGTCGACCTGTTTACATGGATTATGTCAAATGAAGATTCTGAGTTTGTTGTTTTATTATGCCAACTTTTAAATGCAAATTTTAATAAGAGAAAACAACATAGTTTAATATAGGCATATTGCAGATATTATACATAGGCCACTTATAATGTACATTTTATACATCCTAAAAGAAGATAGCTAACTCTCTGTTCATTATACAATATTTGTTTTGTTCTGTTTCTGTATATGTATAACTGTGATGATTTTGGAACTGCTCTGTATGCTCCACTGTGGGCCCAAATTGGTTGAATAAATATTCTATTCTATATCACTAAAAAAACCAACAACACTGCATATCCTAAATGTCGGATCTACCAAGTAGATACAACATTATATATATATGCCATTGTTTTTTTTTCTTCTGTGTGTTTTCCAGTTCATGTTTTATAAATTATTTTCAAGGTAATTTATTAGGAAAACGGTTCGTTGTTTTCACTGAATTTGGAATATTTGTCACCAGAGCTGCTCACCCCAAACTCTGAATCACAGAAAACCTCATCAGCAGACAATTTATTCATTTGCCTCATCCAAGTGTGTCCTTTCATATCCAGCTTGCAGTCTGCGTTATCACTGGATTGCAGAATAACAGTAGCATGGGATCTAGTAAAATATTTGAAATGAGAAATTCATATGCATGAACCAATAAAATATGAAATAATTCATAAAGAAGCAAAAAATTAAACGAGTAAATTGATCAATGGAATTTAGGAAGATAACGAACAGTATTCAAATTTAAAAGTCCATTACAAAAAACAAAATAGGAGCAGAGTAAAACACGTACATTTACTGCAACGCTTTAAAACAACAGTAGCAGACCGACACCCTTGATTTGCTCTGATTGTTCAAAGGTGATGTAAAAATATGAATTTAATGCAGAAAAGGCAAGTCTGAGGTGCGTTTCATTTCTCTATCACAACGATACCAACTGAACTGATTTGCTTAGTATAAGCATTAGGAACGTCGAAAATATGACATCAGCGATTTGTAAAATTCATATTCGTGATCTGACAGTGACGTAAACATAATATTACCGTCTGTCAGTCCTGTTTGTCGCCAGCTTTGTTTTATTTATTTCAAGTTTCTGAAATTACAATTAAGCTAAAACAGTCTAGAAGTAATCAAATGTTTCATTTCTTTTGTACAACAAACTAATTTATTAATATATACAACATGTACAAGCTAGGTCAAGAAAGTAGTTCTGATTGAAAAGTTTATCAATGTGTAAACTTTTTCTTAAATTTGTTCTTGTCCTATCAAAACACAAGGTATCAATAAATATTATTATACCTCATTATCATTATTCTACACAACACATTATCTGATTGGTTCTAGATTATCACGTGATCGGGCCACAAAACTTCATATTTCCCGGTCGTCGGCATGCTTTTCATCATATTCCACCTCTTCGGAACTTAGTGTATTTTCCCGCAATATAGTTACCGTTCGTTAAAAGAACACTCCCGAGAGTAGTCAACGTCACAGTAAACTGGTTTACGTCACAAAAGTGTTGATTAGAAATGTGTCAAAAGGTTTCAGGAACTTTTACGTTAAAAATGAGAGTGAATTTGAGAGCGGTGCCGAATTTGAAAGTCTATGTTTATTTCAAAGGTTTTGCTTGTTTCGGTATAATAAACAATTCATTGCATGAATGTTCGGGAAACATGAATACTTATTCAGCCAAGAAATATCATATTCCCCTCGGGCGAAGCCCTCGGGGAATATGATTTTTCTTGGCTGAATAAGTATTCATATTTCCCTCACTATCGTGCAATAAATGTATAAAATAAATAAGAATGGAATTATTGTGAAATTCGTCGTCAATTCAGTTTGTAAATAATGGCCTAACAGTATGAAAAAACATCACTCAGCATATAACTTTAAGACAAATTGTATTTGCTGACAAGATCATTGTATCGACCATAGAAGTGACGAAATGATGACTTTAAACAAGACTGTTGATAATCTTGTTTCAGTAACTTGGTTGTCAATAACTTATCTCGTTTAAATAGAAATTGATCATAAGTAGAGCATGCTCTTGCGTATCGAATCAACTGAGAGGTATAAACCCCGCAGTGATGAAGGTATATTGCTTCATAAGTAAGGCAAGTTGACAATTTGAAAAATTAAAGTCATCTCGCTTGTCATAAAGCTTGGTTGTTAGATAACCATTTTCAAGTAAAATATCTAATAGATGTGTCAGACTTTGTGATATCTTTAATTTCAAGCTCACCGGGATGTATCGGGATATATCGACATAAGAATGGAAATAAGCATTGTTAATTGACAATACTTCGTCGATATATCTAAATGTCGGGTTGAAGGCCACAGTAAGTGTTTTCTTCTTTTCACTTATAAGATTTTGGACAAATTCTGCTTCATACGAATACAATAATAGTCTGCTACTAACGGGTGCAATTGGTACCAATGGGAATTACAATAGATCGATCGAAAACCTGGTCTCCAAAAAGCACATATATATTGTCAATCAGAAACTCAAGCATTTTTTAATATCAACGTTATGGTACTTCTGTATACAATCAGAATGTTTTTAAACAAAATAAGTTTGCAAATGACCAATGACAAGGTGAGTAAATTTATGAGTTCCGTTTTTATTGAAAAAGCTGCTATCAAAAAGCTGATATCAAAAAGCCTGGATTTTAATTGATCGTGTGGAATGGTTGGAAAATTGAAAAGTTCTAAGTTTTAATGCTGTTGATTTTGGTAAAATTTTGTGATTTCTAATTTTCAAAAGTTCCTTGGAATTTATGTATCCATATCTGATTTACACCACTGTTGCACAATACTCCTGAAGTTTGTCCTTCACTACTGTTACTGTTACTAATTTAGTGAGGAGTAAAGAAAGAGGCTTGGTAGAACATTTACTGAAACCCGCTATGTATCTTTGTTTGTTAGGATTTTTATGAAGTTTCGGAGTCCAATATATAGATATGGTAATTCAAATTGGCTCTTTGGAATATCAAAAATATTTAAAACTGACGTATGATTTTAAAGAATTTCCTTCTTATATTTCCTCATAAATGTAAATGAAAAGGGCGAAGATTACAATCTCATAAAAAATTGGACATATATATTTTTCCTTCTACAACAAGCTCGTAGAAAGTTATTTTTCATGATGTGTCTTCGTGCATACATTTATTCAACTTAGACGCTACTTAAGAGGTTGCTCTGAGTACGATTAATTTTGAAAGCAAGGCTTGCTACTCACTGATAAGGGGATGTCAGAAAGATTCCAACAACTCGTTTGAAGTCGTACATTCGATTTATTCTATGGTCGTGATGATAACTTTGTTAGCAAATATAGCCTATCATTGGGTCAAATATTGGGCCTTCGTCATAATACTGAATTTTACTACGGAGTACATATACGGGTGTGGATGTTTACTCTTCCTAGTCATACGATTCCACCTCTGCAATTTCCAGAGACTGTTCGCTAGCTTCACATTTACAGTTGATTTTAGAAAACTTAGTGCTCAAAGATGAAAATAAAAAGAAAATTTAATTACTTACCTCCGATAGCATTTGATGAAACCAACAATTGCCATGATAAGAAGCACAAAAGCAAGAGGCGCCGCAACAGACACGACTAAAAGGGTATATTGACGTACTGCATTCGGTGTCGGTGATTTTGGATCATCTGTTGTCATGGCACAACCTGAAAGTTGCAACACTTTACAATCCCACTGATCCATAATTAAAATATTAGATAAAATATTTGAAAAAAAACGTTAAGATGATTTTAAAACAATGTATATTATAAAGGTAAAATTAATCTTTCTTACACGTAGAAATAGAAGTTAGAAATTCGGAAAATTTGAGTAAATGTGTGGATTCTGTTGAAGAAGAAGAAGCTGTAGTTGTCTTTGGTATAGTGGTTTTTCCTATGCTTGTGAACACAGTAGGTTTTTCTGTTTTTGTTTCGGGTGTTGCTCTTGTTGTTAATTCATCTGAGACTTGGTTTGTTATTAACTTTGATACTGTCTGTTCTACGGTTTGGCTTGGTGTTGTTTTCATTGTCTTTGTTTTGGTTGTTACCGAATAATTTAATTTTGCTTTTACAGTTGGGTCATTTGTCACCGATGTTGTTGTTTTATCGACTTGAATTTTAGTTAGTGTGGTATTTTCTACAATCAAAGTATCTTGGATTGTTTCCATTGTTGTTACTTCTGTGTAAGCTTGTTCTTTCTCCTTTGCTTTCGATATTGTTGTTGCTCCTGCTGTTGTCTCTGACTTAGTTACTTTTTCTGTTGCTGTTGATTCTATTCTTTTTGTCGTTGTCTCTTTTATTATGTCTGTTCGTGTTGCATGCAAGGTTGTATTTGCTGTAGTTGTTTCCAAAGCAGTTGATTCATTCCATAATGCAGTTGATACTGATGTTTTTGATGATTCCACTGATTTCGGGGCTTCTGTTGTGGCTTTTGTAGATACGGATGTCTCGGCAACGGTTAAAAATGAGGGCGATTCCGTCGTTTCTCTCGACGATTCTGTGGTAGTTAATTCTGTGCTTGTACTACAACCTGAAAAGTTTTTTTCAATACTATTAACCTTTTCCACTTAATCCTTTCATTTGAATATCTAAATTATCTGCTAATGGATAAGAAAGTATTCTTGACGACACAATGAATGAAGATAGATATATTATTACATTATTGCAAAATTGACACGATAATAAAAAAAAAAGAGGGGGGGGGGGTAAAAGGATCTTAATACAGTTTATTCTTACTTCATTGTTTTTTTTTAAATATATTCTTAATAGAAAACCAATTCAGTCATGGACAGGTTTGGGACTGTAATGCCAAAAATTTTGCAAGCAATTTATGTAATTGAATTAAAAAAAAACATTGATGCAGCATTTCTCTTTATAAAAGTTGTGTTCATTACATTTGAACAGCGTCACCTTTTTCAAGCTCAATAGTCCATTTAACAATACCAAATTAAAGCAGAGTAAACATGGACCTCTAAAACATCACAGGTGAAGTTTTAGAGAACAGGTGCCATGGAGGAGTGAACATTCTCTGCCGACCGGTAACACCCACCTTTTGCTCCTTGTCATGATCAATACTGATTGTCAGGCAATCATTTTCACACTGATTTGTCTACGGGTTTCACGATTGCCTGATCATGACAAGGAACGCAATGGCGGGTGTGAACGGCCATAATAGTGATGAGTATTTGTTTGGTACCTGAAGTACTCTGTTTTAAGAGGCCGTGTTTCCTCTGCCCCGATTCTGTTTTGTTTTGGACTTTTTAGCTTAGTAACTGTTCGTTATCTAAATATTTCTATGATCCAAAATAAATGTTAACATATTCCTTTACGTAAGTACTTCAGAGTTAATTTTTTTTAGTAGGCAAAAATAAAAAGTCCTTTAATAATTGTAATAATAAGTAAATTGAATATTGTCAGACCTGGCTCAATGGACCAATCCTCGTAGTTTAATGTCGGATTACATATACGACAGCCTTTATGCGTATCACGTTCCCCTTTGCTAACACATATTCCATTTATTATGCAATAAGTGCCTGCAGCTAAAAAATTGAAAGGAAAAAAGGGACACAAAATAAAATGTACGGATCTTAAATGATTAATCTATATTATTATTTGTACTATATATTTTATCATGATTTTAAATATAACTAGATGCTTTTCCATTGCATGGGTAACAACTTTTCTTCCGACCGACTTTTCTCCAGAGCGATATGTTACACCTTCCAATTAAATAATTCACAGAATGTATTTTTTTGGGTGTACGTTTATATATCACAGATCTTCAACACAGATCATGACTATTAAAGGTTTTCCACAGAATCTCTGTTAAAAAGCTTTTAAAAATCGGACAAAATTCCCATACATGTTTAAAAAGAGAGAAATTTCAATTAAAATCAAAAAAGAGAGAAACAAAGAAAACAATACAGCATCCTAGCGAGATTCGAAACCCCGATAGTTTGATAAAGGTTAGATCGGCCATTTCTTTGAAATAAACTCATGTATCAAACATCGAAAACATATCTAGAATTCCTAGAAAACACACCATAAACTCTGTAAATCCTAATGAAAAATATTGAAAAACAAAACAGTTGAAAAAAAAATGAAGGTCGATCAGCAAATTTACATGCAATGCTCTGTCGCGTCCGTGAGTTTCATTCTCATATTTTAAGCCATTCTTCAGGTTATTTAAATTCCATTAAAAAAATGTTTTCCCGCAAAATTGCAAACTCATGTGATGTTCGAAAAAAAGGAGGTACACTTCCTGGAGATATTCCATGAGAAACTGAGAAGAGAAACAAAGAAAAAATTGATTTACTGCCACCAGCGGATTCGAATCCATGAGAGTGTGACGAAGTTTAGATCGGTGATATTATGCAAAAAATGCATGTATCAAACTATTGAATACAAAATAAGAACCATAGAGCCGAGCTCGTTGCAAAGCAGTTTTCAGAAGTACTGCTTGTAAGATAGGTTAATGCAAATGACATTTTCAGAGGGGAAGGTCTCCAGACCAAAAATCATGTCCATCTGTAACTAACATTTTTATGATTGAAATCTATGTCGATTGTCTAATGTTATTTTTCATTTTTTCTATCTATTTGACGTTATATTTTATAATTCATGCATATTCTTTTTTCAACATATGCCATTGCCGTTTATTTGTTGTTGAATAAACAAAAGATATGACCGTGACCTGGTGTTGTTCTTTTGCTCGGTTACATTATCAATCTAAAAAAAACCCGCCAAAGTACCCCGACCCACCTCTGCATGGATCCGATAATGCTCTTCTTTTGTCCATAAGTGGGGGACAGAGAACCTCTAGATAAGTTTGTCGTGATTGAATTAAGGATATTTCGATTTTCAAAATCTCAAAACAGTAAGTTTCCTTGTTATTTAAGTATTAAAGTGATTACTTTGAGTTAAATGTAGTAATCTGCAGTTAACTAAAGTATTTTTTCGCAAGTTACACAATAATAGGATTTAAAGTGACACAACTTTTTTTAGATTGATAATGTAACCGAGCAAACGAATATTTCATTGTAAAATCCCTAAGCCTCCTCGAGATATCTCTCCTAAGGGTAAACCGCTATTCATTTTGAAAATCATTTATAAATTCCTCAATTTATTTTTGCCCTAACGCAGATTTTAAATGCAAACATGTTAATTGCAACGATCTTGAAATTTGAATATGTTATATTAATTATTTTATTCATCTTCAATACCTGAATCGAAGTGCCATTCATACATATTTGATGCAGGATTACAAACTTTGCATTCTTGCTGAGGAGCATGTTCTCCGTCGCGTACACAACTTCCGTTTATGAAGCAAAACCCACCTGTTAATAATTTGAGAAAAATGCAACGATTAGAACTATTTTCTACATGTAATAATGATAAAGTAAAAAGAAAATGCACAGTTTCCTAATTTCATTTAACACACTGCTCCCTAACAAAAGGTTACTATTGTTAACTATAGTTTTCTAGTGTAAGTATAATAAATTATAGTAATTAACAATAGTTAAATATAGTACTTTTTTTAAAGAAATAAAATACTAAATCTCCCAAACACGGAAACTTTTATAGCTTTTACAAAGTTAAATAGCTATATTTTGTCTGTAATATTTGCTGAAGCTTAGTTTTTCTGTGTACGAAAGTAATCCCAGAAATAAGCATTTTAGCAGTAACTTCAATATACTTTTCTTTAATATAATATTTTAATATAGTTCCTCAACTTTTTTTTCACTCATTTTACGCGTGTAAATAAATGAAAACTGCTTCCTCCTAATTCTAGAATAAACTTTTAAAGTTTTTTTTCTCGATTTGTCTCGTAATTTTGATATGCATGAAAAATATGAGTTTTGTGTTCTTATTTACGTGTATCCAAATCTAATGCAAACAATCGATCAAATTACATAGAAAAACAATGTATATAAAATTACCTTCAATAACTGTCCATTTATTTCTGGTTTTATTGATGTTGCAAATCTCACAGCCACTATTTTTTCTCCGTTCGCCATCGAAGTAACAGACGCCATTTATGAAACAAAATTCTGTTTTAAATCAAGAGGCGCCAATATTAGAAATATTTGCATAAAGTTGATGTTACTGTTCTCCTCAGATGTTCAAGTAATAATACCGCCGGTATGTTGATAAAAAACACATTTTAAAAAAAGAATGGAATTGTAGCGCTTTGGTTCAAAGCGTTAGAAATCCATAACCATGACGTTTTTTTTTTTTATCATTTAAACAATTTAACAAGGAGAATTTTACCGCAGGATTTGTCATGAAATATAGCTTTCAATATCTAGATTCTTGAATATCATTTTTTACGCTTAAATTGTTCATGCTTTTATTATAAGAATAAATAATGTATTATTTATTTATTATAAATCATCAGAATATTTAAACAAGAAAGCAAATATGGACCATGCCAATTTCAAGTAACAAAAATAAAGATGTTGTACCTGAATTGATTGACCAGGAAGTAACACTTTTTTCTATAATACAGATTTCACAAGGATTTTTCATGTTCAATTCTCCATCTTTAATGCAACTTCCATTGATGTAACAATGTCCTAAAAGCAAATATATATATATATATATATATATATATATATATATATATATATATATATATATATATATATATATATATATATATATATATATATATATATATATATATATATATATATATATAAAAGAAATAATACAATTAAAAAAATCATCATATTAAGTAGCATAGTACTCCTCAATAGATTTTTATGCTAGACAAATTGACCCCTGTAGTCAATATTATCAAGTAAACTTAATAAAACAATAGTACGTGAGCAATATTTGTTATCCTATCTCTTTCTTTCTCAAATTTAACTCTCTTGGTCTATGAACATTGAATGTATAAAGATTTTCAGATTTTTTCTCATTTTTATTTCTCTATAATAAATAATTCTACTTGATTATGAAAAGCTATAAAAGTAATTTTTGTACTTTTAATTATAAAAATCCTTTTATATATTTTATTTGATTTGACTCTTCATTTACACTTTTTAAGATATAATAAATATAATTATCCTTCAGAATTATACAGTCAATCTTATTGGTTTAGTTATCATAATTTTGTCTGTAAGGTGAGGCAATTCGTGGTGTCTCCCTCACGCGCATGGTGACAATCCTATTAAAAGCTGATAATCGGTGATGTCTCCCTTCTAAACAGTCCATTATTGTATATTATAATCATAGATGTACAACAATGGGAAATTAATTGTATTAGTAACATGGTAAAAATTCAAGAGCCAAGTCCAGCAATAGAAAATTTTGTCAAGTGTTCCACAAATTTAAAGTATTTTTGGAATGATTCTTTGCTTATATACGTGCTTAGTTTATCTGCTCATTTTCCAGGAAAAGAGAACAAGATAGTCAAATAATCAGTATTTTTTTTTTTTAGCTTAAAGCACTACTAGTATTAATAAATAGAAACCCACCAGAACACTAGAACTCAGGAGCAAGGGACCCTGATATAATAATTTTATACCTTTTTCTCATCATAACTATGTTATCATCAGAAATTAAGCACGTACGAACTATTTGCGGGGGACCCGAGGTTCTAGTTGAGCGTAGGTTTTATCCTTCTGCATGTTATTATTTTAACTGCTTTATACTCGGGAACGGGGAGGATATTCAAGAAATTGATGCATTTTTGCTGTTTAGTAAAAAAAAAAAATAACAAACAAAAAAACAATCACAATACTAGAATATATGAATTTCAAAAAAAGAAGAAAAAATGAGTATACACCGTTTTTTTTTATTATAACTATACATATAGTTTAATACCCAGGGAAGATACATTTTTAAAAAAATCAATGATTTTATTCTATTTGCTTGTTAGTCCAAACACCAGAATCTCCGATTTAGGGGCCATATTATTTGTAAATAAATCTGAAAAAGTCATAACTATGCATTTAGTTTGTTTGGTTAATACCCAGAACAACCAAGAGCAGATAAAGAAGCCTTCTAAAAATAATTGCATTTTCCATATTTAATCAATAAGGCCTGCAACAAAACTACGCTCCGGGATCATTAAACTGACTTGGCCTTAAGTCAAATTTTCATTCGCATGTAATATGTATGTTTAAAATTGAATTGATATAAAAATTTGCAAATAACAACATTTAAATCAAAATTGAAACACATTTCAATTTTGATCTGTTTGCCTTCAACAAAATTTAAGTACAGCATGAAGATTTTGACTTCAGCTAAAGATGTTTCATGCTCCCGGGGCCAGGACTTTTAAACAAGGAGCCATGATGTACAAAAATTTGAAAGAGACACATATGCTCAGTTTACTGAGATATCAAAATTCCAATTGAATAAAGAATATTACCGGAATATTTGGTGCTAAAAACTGCAATTAATCAAATATAATGTGAGCCATATTCTTATTTCAGATGTTCGATTGTGTTGAAGACTTTTTGAAATCGATCACTGTTCGTTATATATAGCCATTTAATTTCCTATATTTCTTTAGACACCTAGTTTAATCTTATAAAATGAAAGGCTTAAAATGTGCAACACTTAAGCGCTTTCACTGAATTGTATACAAATGCTTAACATAAATATTACCTAGAAGGGGCTTAGGTTAAAATTCACGTAATAATACAGTTCAAATGAATATATTTACATTTCCAATAAATTTCCCCTATGATTCTTTACAAAATAAAATGCAGTATATTTTCTCATGAACTACATTAGGTATGTATCACGAATAAGCATGAATATCTCCATTGTTACGTCATAATACCGCTCTTGACGTCAAAAAGTCAAAAAATATAGTGCACACTGTTTTGTTTTAAAAATGACAGTTAAACGGCGTAAATTTATGGCAAGTCATCAGTAAAATAATGTAAATATAAGAAATGAATTTAATTTTTTGAAGATTCATGAGGTATATGAACTACAACGCTTCACGCCGGCATATTTATCATGAAGCGCTAACGCGCTTCATGAAATATGCCGGCGTGAAGCGTCGTAGTTCATAACCTCATGAATCTTCAAAAATTAAATTCATTTCTTAAGTACCCTCATTGAAAGTCCAGCTGTATTTATCCTTGGCAACGTTGCATATATCACACTTATTCTTGGGATTCCTTTTTCCATCGGCGATGCATCGACCATCAACAAAGCAATAGCCTTCCTATAATGCAGTTTCAAATTAATAATAATATTTCAGATTCAGAACTTTTTATAAGATATTAAATCATACACCTGACGTTATATAATTACTTCAACAAAAAGGCGAAATACGTTATTAACTTATCCACTTTCTGTATTTTGGCTTACCTTAAAAGTGAATGAAATTTTTCCACTTTTGTTATGGTATTCTTGACATAGAGATTGATATGTATACACATTGTAGTTTTCAGTAAAGCTTCTGCCATCATTTGAGACGTTAAAGATAAAATATGTTACCCACGTTGGTGTTGAAGCATATTCTAATGGACAATATCCTTCAAAAAGGGTCCTTTCCTCTAACTTTTTCTCAAAGTAATCAAGCTCAACGTATGAACCATTTTCTGTGATCTAAAATTACACATAGAATGATAATTCGTTTCTCATGAGACATATGAGCTAGAGTACTTTCTAAAATTATTTGCAAACGCTCTGTCGTTCTTGAAATGTTTTAAAACAATAACTTAATGGAAATATAATGTTTGATTTAGTGGAGCTATGTGTATTCCTTGTGACAAGGCCTTTCTTTGGGTACCACTGTTAGAACGCGAAATGAAATAACAACGCAAAATGTAATAAACCTGGGTTATAACATTTTCGTTATTACATTTTGCGTCGAAATCAACACAGAAAGCAACAACGCAAAATGTAACAACACACTTTTGAGGATTATTACATTTCACGTCATTACATTTTGCGTCAAGAAAAGCGCAAAATGTAATAACGCTTATGTACTGACACGATTTTTGGATTATTACATTTTGCGTTGTTGCATTTTGCGTCGAGATTAAGCAAAGGGCAAGAACGCAAAATTTAATGATACACTTTTTGGTCAGACAAACTGAGTACAATTTAAAAGAGTAGTGGCCGATGAAAATAAATGAAACAAAATGAAAAAAAAGATAAATGCAATTTCTTATCATTAATGAATTTTATAATATATTGATTTGAATAGCTACATGTATTTAAGATCAGTTTAATACATTTATTCAAATTATAGGTTTTGCCAATTCGAAACATGTGTTTGTGGGCGGTGTTATTTGGGGTTTGGGGTTATTGACCAGTGTGTTTTTTCTTTTTATAGACAAATGCAATGAATCTAAATCAGTCAAGCGAAAACAAAATTCCCTCCTCTCTCTCTCTCTTTCTCTCTCCATCCAATGATAAAATGAATTCTTCCTGCAAGTCCATGGGAATACAATGATAAACATACGAAGTAATCACCCCACCCTATTCCTGCCCCTCCTCGCTTAACACACTCATACACTTCTAATTTGTTTACCAATCTACACATGCCGAATATTTAATGAACCTATGGTCAATCTTTGGTAATTAAAATGTGGTATTGGTTAGATTTTTAATGACTGAATTATCAAAAATATGCCAATCAAAGTTAAATTATTGCTGTATAATTAAGTACAGTGCATTCAATAAAACTAAAGTCAAAGTCAGAAAAAAGATATATTTAGATGTATTTATAGCCATAACGTTGGCCTCATTGTTTTGGTTCTAAATATTTTGTATAGTGTATTTCCCATGTTGGTTAAATGTACACATTGAAATCAATTTTATGATGTTTGTGTTAAACGCAATAATAAAATCATTACATATTGTTCTATTACAAATTCTTTTATTACATATTGCAGATAATAAAGTAACGTAAAATGTAACGATGATCAAGCACGTTATTACGTTTTGCGTTGATCTCAACGCAAAGTGTAATAACGCAAAATGTAAAAATCTAAAAATCGTGCTGTTACATTTTGCGTTATTATATTCATTTTGTTTCATTTAAATTTTTCGTTGATCTCGACGCAAAATGTAATAACGCAAAATGTAGTAATCCAGATTTATTACACTTTGCGTTGTAACCTACCACCAAATTTGACCTTTTGGCCTTGACCTTAGAGTTTGACCCACTTTTACCCAAAAATTTCAAACTTTTACTTTGGCAGTATCTTTTAAACAGTAAGTACCAGGACATTTTTACTTCACGTATGTATTTTTTGTTGAAAGATCTTGCATTGTATACCAACAATCTTGATCTTTGACCTTCACCTTGGAGATTTCTGTACTTTTGAAAAACATTAACCTTGGCCATTACTTTTGAACGGTAAGATATAGGACTTTCATACTGTATTTATGAAATCCTTGTGAAAATATCCTTCATTCGATATCAAGAACTTTGACCCTTTGACCTTGACCTTGGAGTTTGACCTACTTTTAAAATACAAGCCTTGACGAAATCTTTTAAAGGGTAAGGGTTTCTGCTTTCATACTTTACATATCTAATCCTTGTGACAAGACCTTTCATTTGATAGCAAGGCCTTTGAGTCTTTCACCTTGACATTAGAGTTTGACCTATGTAATAAAAAAATAACCTCAGCAATAACTTCTGAACGGTTGGGACTAGGATTTCCATACTTTACATATGTATTCTATGTGGCAAGACGTTTCATTGGATACCAATTACTTTGACCTTTTGACCCTCTTTGGATACCAAGAACTTTGACCCTTTGACCTTGGTATGAACTTTGACCTACTTTGAAAAGTAAACCTTGACCAATTCATTTAAAGGGTTAGGGCTAGTGCTTTTATACTTTACATATTTAATCCTTGTGACAAGACCTTTCGTTTGATAGCACAACGTTTGACCTTGGAGTTTGACCTACTTTTTAAAAAATTTTGACCTTGGCCTACATTCATATTTCACAATTGTATTTCCAGTGAGAATACCCTACTTTTGGTACCAATATATTAAATTGTATAAACACATCTTGTTAAGTAATGTCTCGGAACATTCCCCCAAAAGTTAGGGGTAAGAAAAAAAATTGATCGACTTGCAGAGAATTTAATTAAGGGCTAAGAAGAAAACGTATAAATTACTTATACATAATTTGAGTAAAAGTTTCCCGCTCGGATAGGATCAACACTGATCGGACGAATCTAGCAACTGTTCTATCGCCAAGCGCTTTCCACTTTAGAGTACAAGATCTCGGATGAAACCTTAGAAACAGAGGTCCCGTATCAAGGCATATGTTGGTGCAATAAAATATCCCATATGAATTAACAACCCTGAGTGCGGAGTAAATCTAAATTCGAAGGACTTTACTGGTATACAGTTTGTTCAAGAAAATATTTTTTAAACATTTTTTAACAGAGACAGTCCCTTCCCTGCGAAGATGATAAGGATTTTGTTTTAATGTGGCGTAGTAATCTTTACCTCGTGGGATTAAATTCTACATCTTGACGTTGACAGTGAAAAATTTCCGAAGGAATGTTAAGCAAACAATCAAAAAAGGAAGAAAGTTTCAAATCTAAGTTTGATGATGGCCTCACTAGGCTAATAAGTTACAACATTGTCAAACGATTTTTTGAATCATTGTAAATGTTAAATCACCCTTTGTCTAGTTGTAAAGCAACGTGTATTCATATTCTCCAAGAAATATCTTCCATACAGTGTTATTTCATCGCAGGCTTCTTCTGATTTGTCACAGAAACCAAAATTGGAGATCAGAGATATTGCTGGAGGCCCGAATAAATCAAAAGAACAATCACTTCCAGCATATCTAGAGATACATGTGCAATTTCCTGAAATAAGAAGACATGTTAAATGGTAAATTTCTGCAAAAAAAATTTCACTGCATTTCAAACTTTCATTCTTTCAAAAATGTCCTTAAAGCAATTATAAAAAAATTACGCCTTCAGATACTAGGCGTTATCAAAAAGTTCGTGGACTGAGGCTATAAAATTAGTACTATGCAGTCTGTGCTTTCAAAATTTATATGGAACATAAAACAATAAAAAAATAAAGACATGTTGAAAAATTTAGCCCGACATGTTCATTATTTGCCAAATTATTATAAAATAAAAACGACATTATATGATCACCCGGCGCTTTCGTCGTTTATTTTCATGACGTCCGATAACGTCATTGTTTTTTTTTAAAATGTCTGCTTCTTCTACTTCATACACTTTTTTGATGAGATTCCCTGGAACTAAGTAAGGACTTAAACCTGCCTTGTTTATATGACTTTACAGTGTCATGAACAGTGGCCTTCAATGAACATAATATTCCAAATGGATTTATACACGAGGAAAGATCCGAGCTTGATTTTGCCGGCATATTTTGCTTTTGGGAGTTTAATATCTACAACACATGATTAACGTCATTTTTTGACGTGATTGATTTTTCACACCTTGACTGCAAATCGACATTAGCTGTGTATCCCTTTTCTCTCTGATTCTATTTTGACATTAAAGACAAGTACTCTGGATGCATATTATTTTTCTGTAGAAGTTTCAACATATTTTAGGTCTATACCAGTTTTTTCAGGGGCAAAACTTTATAGAATGTTGGAAACGGAAACCCCTCCCCCCCTTTTGACATCATTTTCAATGCCTCATTTGTTTGGACGTTCCGTGTAAAATTTACCGTAACATTTCATAGAACTTTCAGAATAAAGTGAAAGTTTTATATTTTATGGAACAATTGTGTCCCGACATAAACCTGTATTAACGGGAATTTTGGATGTCAAATGATCATATCAAAAGAGTTTTTCTTAGTTCCACATAGGTCGCAAAAACGTCGTGTACGAGGTTGCACCGCCTGGACATACCATTGCTTACAAAAACTTTACTTATTTATTAAAATAAGAATTTATCATTCATGATTTATTCTATAGATAGAAAAGATGATGCTAACTAAATATTTTAAAAATTCAATAATGTGCCTAAAGCGGTTTTAGTTTTATGACGCTAGTCCACGAACTTTTTGATAACCCCTCGTACGATTTGAAATGTTCTGATTATGTCAAAAAGAATTGAAAAATTTAATAACATTTTGTACTTAAATCTTAAAAAAGGAAATGATGAATTTTAATCCGGAATTCATATACAACTGTCATATTGGATTGATATGTTCAGCTTTAGTTATATATTTTTTAAGCGTTGATCACTTGAAACTGATTTAGTTATATGAAAATTATTCTTATTAAAATGAGTTCTTTTCTTCGTTGAAAAAAACGACAAATCAAATGGAAAGTCTAGCTTCATTTTCTTTTACAATAAGAGGACTGTTCGATCAATGGTATCGGTGCTCAGAAAGAAAAAAAAACCCCTTTAATATTCAGTAATAATCAGTAATGCCCCCTACCCCACAGGAACCCTTGCCCTTAGGTCACACATTTAACAATTTCGCAAAATGCATATTTGCTCTTAATAAATGTTTCCTTAATACTAACGAGCAGATTTCAAAGCATTAATTTTAATTTATTTTCAGTATATAAGTTCCATCCCTCTATAAAAACCTTCACACAGGGGCCTTGAAATTTTAAATTCTGGAAGAGGCACCCTTGTTCAGCTTTTCTATATAGGTAGTTTATCTGAATGGGATTATTACCCAGGGGCACAGGAAATGATTTTCAAAGAATTGATGCATTTTCAATCTATAATTTATATAGTCCCGCGCTTACACCAGAACCCTAACTTTGGGGCCATGAAATTCAGAATTTTGAAAGAAGCAACCTTCCTTATCATTACAATGTATGTAGCTAGTTCGTTTAATGCCCAGGAGCAGAGAATAGGTAATGCATTTTCACTGTATAAGTTATACTTAGTATATAATCAAACACTAACACAAGAATTCCTTACCCCGAAATTCACAATTTTGGAAGAAGTACCCAACCTTATCATTACTGTGTCTGTATTTAGTTTGTTTTATATCCAGGAATAGAAAAGATTTTCAAAAAAATAATGCATTTGCACGGTATAATTTATATAGTCCCACACCAACACCAGAACCCCCAACCTTGGGCCATAAAATTCACAATTTTGGAACAGACATCCATGCTTATAATAACTGTGTATATAGTTAGTTTCTTTAAATACCCAGAAAAAGATGAAAAGAGAATGCATTTTATCTATATAATCAATAGAGCCCTACTCAATCACAAGTAACCCTGGCTCTGGGGCCATAAAATTAACAAATTCACAATTTTGGAAGAGGTACCAATGCTAAATCTAAACCATGTAATTGGTATTTAATACCCAGGGACAGAAAAGAAGATTTTCAAAGAACTAATGCATTTTCAAAATATAATCTTCATAGTTCTAGGGCTAAGGATTTCACAATTTCGGTCGAAGATTCAATGGATATTACTATCATGCCAAGAGTTTGACGGCCTGATGTCACGAAATGTTTTAAAAATTGCATTAATTTAAGTGGTTGTAGTTACTTTATGTCACTGACCCTTTGAATCACTTACCCTTTGGCCAGGAATTTCACAATGTTGGTCGAGGATTTAATGGGTATTACAATTATGCCAACAGTTTGTCGGCTTAACGTCGAGAAATTTTTTAAGAATTGCATGAATTTTAGAGGTTGTAGATACTTTATGTCAAAATTGATTGAGCGGTTTCAGAGAGGAAACTAACATGATTAAATATTAACGCACAACGCACGATGACGGGGAAAAAGAGATAGCAAGATGTTTTATAAGTAAACTCAGGTGACCTTAAAACATTCGGTTATATAAAAGCAAGCACAATTAGTGTCGCTCGAAATTTCGACAGTTTGTTGGAAGATCTGGTCTATTAAAAGAAGGATATGGAACTAACGAACATTATTCAGTATCAAAGTCAATAAAACAATACGACATAGGAACAAAGCAAACATGGACCTCCGAAACATCAGAGGTGGGATCAGGTGCCAAATAAAAAATCACCCCAAAATCATGATATATGAAAATATTACTACATGCTGTCAAATTTATATACATCCACAACACCTGTGGTAAATAACATCTCGACAAAAGTAATAAAAAGTAAAGGATGTAAGAACATCGAATAACTAGAAGTCTCTGTCGAAACTGTAGCTCTACTGGTTTGTACTTACCGGATAACTATAACAAAGGAAAGTTAGCAGTTTGATTTGAAACTTTGCAACAGCAATAAATAGAATAATGATCCTTAATTTAGTCTCCTTTTGTGGCAAGACTGCAATAAGAAATGTAGCAGTAGCCTTTTAAAGACTTTTACATAAATTTCAATTTTAGTTACCATTGGAACATCATTCACAAAAAACAAGAAAAACCAATAAAGAAAATTATGTATCTTAGTGTAGACTATTTGATTGATTGATTGATTGTATACTGTTTAACGTCCCTCTTCAGAATATTTCACTGATATGGAGACGTCACCATTGCCGGTGAAGGGCTGCAAATTTAGGCCTTTGCTCGGCACTTACGGCCTTTGAGCAGGGAGGGATCTTTATCGTACCACACCTGCTGTTATACCGGGCCTCGGTTTATACGGTAGCATCCGAAGGACCGCCCCATTTAGTCGCCTTTTACGACAAGCTAGGGGGTACTGAGGACCTATTCTAACCCGGATCCCCACGGGGCTTTGACTCAATGATAAATTGTTTTTGCTGATAGGGTCATTGAATCGACCATAGAACTTACTAAATGATGACTTTAAACGAGACTGCTCATATTCTTGTTTCATTAACTTGCTTGTCAATAATTTACCTCCTTTCAGAAATTGTTCATACGTAGAGCATGCTCTTGCGTAATATCGAATCAACTGAGATATATATATATATACTCCGTATGCAGGTTGTGAAGGTATATTACTGCATAAGAAAGGGAAGTTGACGATAGAAATGTTAAAGTCATCACGTTGTGTAAAGCATCAAACGTCCTAAAAAAACTGAAGCATTGTAAAGTATTTCAATAATAGACCATGAATACAGTGTACTTTTAGGAGTTTAATAATAATTTTTAATCCAAACAAGAAAATTACAAAATTTTTATTTTGAAAAATACATTTACAAATCAGATACGCATATAATGTGAGATCAACAGAAAAGACATTTTTTTGTTGCAAATGCATTATAAATCATGTGTAATGAAAATCAGAGATAAAAGGATAGAACTGTATGCTTTATCATCAAACGTAAAAGACGAATATGATATCTTTATACTCAAAAAGGACGTTGACAGAAACGCATGCTCATTTTATTGTCATAGAGCTTTTTTGTCACACTACATGGTTACAAACATGATGCCGATAATAAGTATCCTGCACAGGGCAATGAATGTGAAAGTGTTAAAATGTATAATTCACAGCTATAGCATGAAAGATATGGAGATAACGAGCAGTATTCAATAACAAAGTCCATAAAACACTACAAAATAGAAGCAGAGCAAACACGGCCTCTAAAACATCAAAGGTAGGAGCAGGTGCAATTCAAAACAAAATGCTATGTATAACCACCCTCCTTCCAATAAAATTCGATTTATACGCAAATATACCTCTTATAAACTCCTATAAGGCGATGGAGAAAGAAAAATAATATGTTTTTTTAATAGTTTCGAGAAATACATTGCTGTTTGGACTAAATATCTGTCATTTAATTTGTATATTTTTATTAGAAACGGAGAAAAAAATTCTTGCAACTTAATGTATGTAAAATTGATTGATCTTTTGACAGAAGAAGAAAATATAAAATACTTGAAATAATAAAGCAAAAGACAATGTAAAATTTTATACCCCAACGGGAAGACACACATGTTTGATTACGTATCAAACAACTGTGCTCGCCTTAGTGCAGCTGCACTCTCCAGATATTGTTTAGGGACCCTCTCTACACAACTACAAATTTTTTTGGACATTGAGAAAAATGTATTTTTTAAAGGAATTAATATTGGACTTATTTATATAATTTTCAACGTATGGTGCATGGCATTTACCCCCAGGGAAAATGTTCAAAGACAACACAGTATCAGTGACTAGAAATCACTGTTAATTACTTCAGCAGATAAAATACATGTAAATAACACGTTCAGTTAATTTATCTTGGCCTTTAAAAATGTTAAGAATACTTGAATTGATTACAAATTGAGTAATATATTGTAAATTTCTATTTTTTAGAATTAAGATCTAAGTGCAGAAAAATACCTTAGACTCAAAACTATTTAGTGTGCGATGTAGAGAGGGTTCTTAAATTCCAATACAACAGGCGATTCAAATTAAATAAAATCTTAGGAATTTCAAATTTCAATATGCTTAGCGCTTCCCAGTACTTTCAGTACTTTGATTTTTTTTACATAGCCGTCGGTAGGAAATTGATAGTGGACCCCCCCTCCCCCTTAAGGTCAGTCCCTATTTCCAATGTTTATATTATGTATATCTTTGCAAAACATTTGTGTGCCTAGCTTTTAATTTTACATAAAATGCATGGAAAAAAAATAAGTACCGAAAAACATTTAAGAGAAAAAATGTTTTCAAAGTATGGAAAAATCAAAACCGCTCACTATCACATCCGGAAGTGATCCTATCACCGAAAAGTTATCGAATAGGTCAATTACTTATCACATCTAAGATATGCAAGAATATTGACCAAGCCATACACATTTTATCGGAGTGCGTTTATATAGTTTAAATTAAAGCATGTTGAAAAGAAATTTTATTTTTTCAAAGTGCGTTAATTTGATCCCAAATTTAACGCACTTTGAAAAAAAATTTCAAAGTGCGTTGTTACACACGACAACACCCTTCATCGAAATTAAAAACCGATACATAGAGTCATGTATATTTGTGTAGTCTACTTGTGTGCCAAGTTATATAGAAGTCAAATAAAAAAAAACTGTAGGAGGAGTAGCATTTTGAAAAATGTTTACAGATGGATAGACATCTAGACAGCTAGATAGACAGACCACAGAAATCTTACTACCGTATCGAATTAGCTCTTCTAGTCTCTAACCAGCAGAGCTAAGAAAGAACAAATGTACATATGTGCTCTAATGTATTCCATCATTCTTGTGACATATACTTGTATATCAATGCTTAGAATGATATAAGTTTGTGATTACCTTTAATGCAGACACCGTTACCACTACAGTTTGAAGGACATAGGGATTGTATTTGATGTGTAACTTCTTTCTCGACTTGTTGAAATGTAGAGTTAAGTACAATATACGTTGAACATTGTTCAATGGCATCCTCAATGTGAACTGCTGCAAAGCTTATATCTCCTGTAAACTAAACAAAATTAACATTATGAAAAATAAAATATATCGGCAAATTAATATGGGTAATCATTTTTTTCTTTATTACAAAATATTCTTTTCTTCTATTAGCTCACCTGAGCTGAAAGCTCTAGTGAGTTTTTCTGATCTCATTTTGTCTAGCGTCCTTGTCTGTCCGTATGTCTGTTAACTTTTCACATTTTCGACTTCTTCTCTGAAACCACTGGACCAATTTCAACCAAACTTGGCACAAAGTATCCTTGGGTAAGGGGATTCAAAGTTCTTCAAATGAACGGCAACGCTCTTATTCAAGGGGAGAGAATTCAGAAATAGTGAAAATTTGGTGTTATCTTTTAAAAAACATTTTTCTTAAGAACCACGGAGAATACTTTGAAATTCTGAACAGTGGCAGAAAAATATATTTTCAGACGAAACACATGTAATTGTTGGACAAAATAATTCTATGAGTTTATGGAGAAAATCGTCCGAGAAATAGCCTCAATCAACTTATAAAAATACCCGTGAATTAAATTAAGTTGTATGTTTAGGGATTGCATTGATATTACGGTACCTACAATGGTATTAGTGATATTGTGCCAGATGAAGGTTAATTCTATAAAGTATATAGAATTGCTAGATAATTACTTACGGCCAGTTATTGCTAAAGTGTTTGGAAATCAACAGTTTATTTTCCAAGATGATAACACAACACAACAAAACACGCATCTTGACAAACCAGTGCTTCGAAACAAGAAAAAGGTATTTAAAAATTTAGCTTGTCAGCTCAGTCCCAAGACCTTAATATAATTGAAAATGTCTCGTGTTGTATCAAAATCAAACCATCCCGTGAGATTAACAATATTCAAAATAAGTACGACTCGGTGGCTGCAGTCACTAGAATCTGGAATGGACTTTCCTAAACATATATTCGCAGCCTGTATGCGTCGATTCCTTCCATACTACAGCAGATTATCATTCAAAAAGGTTTTGCAACAAAATACTAAAGAAATATTGAAAGTAATTATATCAACATTTATTTTATTTTGATTTTTTTTCTCATGCATTCATAATTACAACATTATGACGTCAACCAGGTTTGTTGCAATGCATTTGGTCAATCAGTGTATATAGGTATTTCATCTGCTTAATACCCTATGGCAAAAAAGAATATTTTCAAAGAATTTATTTTCTATTCATAATTATATAGTGCCACACTAACACCAGAACCCCTGACCCTCGGGCCATGAAATTGACAATTGTGAAAAAAGGAACCCTTTCTTATCATAACTGTGTATGTAGTTAGTTTGTTTAATACCCAGCTAAAGAAGAGACACCCCTCCTCATCATTACTATTTAGCTAGTCTATTTATTCAATACCCAGCAGCGGGGCAAAATAGTTTCAAAGAATAAATGGATTTTCATTATATAATCCCTACCAACACAATCCCTGACCCATGGTCCTTGAAATTCACAATTTTAGAATAGGCAACCTTACTCATCATGACTATGCATGTCGTTAGTTAGTATAATATCCAGTAGCAGGGTAGAAGATTTTCTAAGAATTAATGCATTTTCACTATATAATTCATAAAGCCCCGCCCTAGCACTAGAACTCCTGACTCTGGGGTCATGAACTTTGGTAGAGGACCCAATGTTTATTACAATTAAGCCAACAGTTTGACTGCTTGATGTCCAGGCATAAAGGAGAAGATTTTTAAAGATTTACTCCATGATGAAAATTATTTAAATTGTATCAAAATGCAATTTTAGGGGTAAAGAAACAATTTGCAACCCAGTGTATTACTTTGACAACATATATAATATTCCAGATGCTAATATTTATTTCACTGTTAGTGATAAGCTATTTTTAGAAACACTGCTGTAAGAGATAAGAGGTAAGACTATTTCATATGCATCATATATCAAAAAGAAAAGAGAAAACGAAGAAGATTTAATAGAAATAGCTGCAGGTTTGTAGCGTTATGGTTTTATAAATTTGTCTTTGACCATAACGATACAGATCCCGTAATGCAAAAAAGGTGCAATTTACGGCGCAATATTTTTTGCGCACTTTTGGGAAGAATTCCTAGACTTTCCAGCATCGGTCAATTAACTACAATTCACTCCCTTAGATTCTAAACACATTATTTAACTAATCTGTATCTTTTTTCTATCTCCAAATCCTTTATAGTCACCTCTTCAAGTGATAAACTCTCTTAATTAAAATTATTTATTAGATTGCTCTTCAAGCGAGTTTATTGCCTGTAGAGACAACTATAAATGGTTGGGAGGTGGATATATATGAAATGTACATATTAGCTACAGAATGTGTCTAGAATAGGGGAGTGAAAATTTGCTTATTTTTTCAAGATGTTTTGGAAATATATTTGTCCTCTTGTAGTTAGATCTATAAATTACAGTTATAAGAGTAGAAATCTCTCTTTTACACAATGACATGATATTTTTACATTTTTACTATGAAATTGCATCGGGCACTATAGCAAATAAAGTAAAAAGATACCTTAACAAAATTATCAACCAAGAATTAACAGGTTTTGTCTCCAATAGATGAATAGGTGAAAATTCAAGGTTAATTTATGATACATGTATAACGCCGTATACGGAAGAAGAAAATATACAAAGGAAAGATGATACAAACAAATTTTTTCTTTGTAAAAGATTTTATATCATGTCACAAGTTTAGAAAAGTGGATGGTTCTTCGAATTTTTTCTCCGAAGATCTGGAAAATGAAATAGACTTGGAAAATATTAGTAATATTTCAATGAAAAAACAAATATAGACAAATCACATTCAGTAAAGGTTTACAGGTGAAAATAAATTTCAGAATATGTTATCTTGGCTCTAAAAGTGTAATATAAACCTTAGAAAAATATATCAAGCCAGGTGAATTTTAAGAGGAAGATCAAAATGACAAAAAAATAGCAATATCACATAAGCTGAGTTTTACCATTTTGCTTTTCCTTATAAAATTCACCTGGCTTGGTATATTTTTCTTAAGTTTATATTACACTTTTAGCACCATGTTAACATATTCTGAAAATTGTTTTCGCCTGTAAACCTTTACTGAATGTGATTTGTCTATATTTGTTTTTTCATTGTAATATTACTAATATTTTCCAAGTCTTTTTCATATTCCAGTTCTTAGGAGAAAAAATTCCGAGAACCATCCACATTTCTAAACTTGTGACATGATATTAAATCTTTTTCAAAGAAAAAATTTGTTTGTATCATCTGTCCTTAATATGACTTATTGATTTTGAAAAAGCCTTTGAAACTTTGTCCTGGAATTTAATTCAAGGAGCACTTAATTTTTATTAGTTTTGGTCCCTTAATTAGGAATTGGGTATCATTTTTTACTAAATGGACATTACTTTAGCAATCACTGTCACGATAGTGGGAAACATAGGATAATTTGAGCCCGTTATGCATTTATCCCATGTTTCCCACTATCGTTGATGTCCCTGGCATACTATACTAACTAGATAGTGATTCCATTTCATCGTGAAATAAAATCGTAGATTTAGAATTTGGAAATGCAGACATATATTTAAATTACACGATGACTCCCATGCACATTTCAATGGTCCTCGCCCACTGATGTCAAACAAAAGGACAGTCACCTGATATTTATATGCATATTTGGCCTCCTTAGCGTCAGACACAGAGACAGATGCGCACGAGATTTGCATGCATATTAGGCCTCCTTAGTTTCTGACCTATAGACCTTCAGGTAGAAATATCAAGAAATCAACTCTGCTAAATAAATGTATCAAAGAGTTATCACAGAGAAAAAAAAAATAGAAATTGAAATGTATCTGCAATAATCTGTGGTAATCTCTCTGATAGAATTAACACCCAGCAGGGTTGTAGATAGGGAGACCCACTTAACCTTTATATATTCATTATATGTGTAGAAATATTAGCAATCCAAATTAGATTAAACAAAAATATTAAAGGAATAACTGTGAACAATGTTGAAAAAAAGATTTCTCAATAAGCTGATGACACTTCCTTTTAGTCTTGATGGTAGTACAGAAGCCCTTACAGAAACATTAAAAACACTAAAGAGTTTTTCAGAAATGTCTAGGTTACACATTAATTATGCCAAAACTTAGAAAGGACAGACTCCAAAAAGTTTTACAATGAAATGTTACCATCAAATTAATTACAATCTTAACTGGGGAACGGAGTGTTCCCGTTTTGCACACATTTGATAATTAGGTATAGAACAATAGATGTGAAATGTGTTTTGATAACAATTCTAGTCTGATTGCTGGTCAAGATTTACATGGGTTTACCTGTATTTTACCTCTGTATTATGAACAGGAGGAAAAAATATCAATTCAAAGAATATATGAATATTTATTTTAACAAGAGAACCGTGGCCTTATAGGTAACCTGGGTATCATGCAACAACTTTCCAACAATTAAATTTGATTCATGTTTTTAATCCAGAGACCATGAAATTCACAATTTTAAAAGAGGCACCATTGCTTATCATAATTATGCACTCAGCATGCTTAATTTGGTTAGTTATACCCAGAAGAACATGTAGATCACAGCAACAAAGAGAAAATGTATTTCCACTTTATCATTATCAGTTGTGCACCCCATCCCACAGAAACCGTTGACCCTGGGGCCACATCTTTCAAAATTTTGGAAATTTTATAAATATTATTTCATCATGTTGTTGATTAATACCAAAGTGCAGATTTTAAAGCATTAAATCATTTTTAGACCTCCTCCCTCCTCCAAGTACCTCTGTCCCAGGGGCATTTTTGGAAGAAGCAGCGTTCTTTATCATAAATATATACTAAGATCATTGCCTTAATACCCAGGATCAAAGAAAAAGATTTTCAAAGAATTCGTTTATTTTCACTATATAAACTTTAGAGCCCCGCCCCAAGAGTAACAAAAGAAGCCCTGAACCAGGGGCCCTGAAATTTACAAATCTCAGAGGCATCCTTGCTCCTCATAACTATAAACACAGT